TCATGAATATTATAGAAATAGAGACGAATAATAATGATACTATGATAAAAAGGTATCAGTTGATTCAAAATAAAATTTGAAATCGAGCATAGTACAGTACAGTAGGGCTCATGAAGTAAATGCTGTGTTTGAGTTGACATGGACAATTTTACATGGTCAATGGTCGTATGTACAAACTCACATTTAAATGGTGTGGAGGTGTGACGAGGACAGACACTCGGTCGAGTGGTTGGGCAGTACCCGCGTGCCAGATCCACAGTAACTGCGAGTGCTCGCGTGTATGTACATTGATAAAAGAGGGCAAGAGCGCGTGGCCGACTCGATAGAGCTGGAATTCAGTTTGCAAACCCCCTGGCCACCCCTCCCCGCCCACATCGCACACTACTACTATTTTATTTCATTTTCTTCCCTGCTTCTCTTCCTCTATTTATATGGCCGATCATTCACTCACTCACTCACTCGATCGCTCGACGGTTTATGTCTATGTAGATATATAGGGGGAAGATCGAAAGCAATTGGTACGTAGCACGATTGCGCCTACTCTACTGTAAATATTGCTCATGCAGGGTGTCGTGGATGCTCTGGTCCATGGAAATAATCGAGCACGAGATATTGAAACGTCAAATAATACTGCCTACCTTCATCCAACTTTACTTTGTTATTATTATTATTATATTCTTGATTTTTCATATGATCAGTTAAGTGTATTCATATGTTTTTTTTTCTTTTTAAATATATATCTGTATTTTTTTATTTTTTAATTGTATTAAATTCTTCAGACTACTGAGAATTTCTATTTATGAGTCCACTGATAGAAAAATTAATTTTATTATATTCGAAAGAAGAAATTGTGAGTCGAGAAAATTATTTTCAATAATTTTGTTGTCTTTGATCGAGAAAAAATGCAATATTAGCTTAAGAAAATTTTTTAATTTTTTCAACAAGTCTTAATAAATATTAAAAAAAAAACATTATTATAATTATCATCCATTTATAATAATAATAATAATAATAATAATAATAATAATAATAATAATAATAATAATAATAATAATAATAATAACATTAATTCTATTAAATCAACACAAAAAAGTGTTAAATATTTAACATAAAAATTTTTAATACAAAATTTTTTGACGCAAAATTTTTTACTGTGTAATATTATTGTTATTATGATGATTACTATTATTATTATCTTTAATACTTTGCAGGGTATTTGGAAAAATACTAAGTTTTTTAGAACAAAAATGAGAGACCCGCTGAAAAATTGGAGCAAATAAATTATTTTATGAAAAGAAAATAAAGTTTAAAATAATAACATTTTTTATCAATTCAACTAATAGACTTCAAAAAATTTAATTTGAAATTAACGAAATTATGATTCAAGTGAAAAAATTGTTTTGCGAATTTTTTTTGCGTACTCTCCTTCTTTCCCTAATAACAACTAATGATTATATAAAATTTCCTCAATCGAATGATCAAAAATAAAATAAACAGAACTACCAATTAAAATTCTATCATTAAATCAAGGAAATCATAACCGTAAATAGCAATTACAATGAAAATCGATGTCATTTTGAAAGATTAAAAAACGTGAGGGGTCAGGGAGTCATTCGCGGTAATTCGCATTGCTACAGAAGCAATCGCGCCTTAATTAACGGGTATTAACGAGCGGAGGCGAGGAAAATGTATGTGTAACCCTTGTACCGGCGAATGGCGAATTGGTATTAGTGTTTGGCGGCGTCTGGCAGGTAGTGAACGCCCCAGTCCAAGTAGCGCACCCGTTCACCCGATCAGCCGCGTTATCCAAGTCGATCATTCAATTTCGCGCGGCAAATTGTCCGTGCCGGAAACTCATATCCGGGTGGTTCCGGTGCTCCCGAGTACCAATCCCCCGTCCTCCGTCTGTCCCGTCTCCGTCGACGATTCACCAGCAAGACCGTCGATGTGCAGATGAACGGCTGGAACTTGCTTCCGCTCATGATCGACAAATCGGTTTCGGTTGGCTCCCAAGAGCTCTCCCTTCGACCAACTTTTCATTGGGGAAACGAAAACTCATTTTTATTCTAAATATATATTTTATTTCATTTTAAAGATCGATTACCTTTTTTTTTTATTTAATTACTCTACAGAGTGTACTGCACACTTTCTCGAAAAATATTCCTTCCAAGAACGTTCAAACAAAGCAACTGATTTTTCCGCACGGATAAATAAAAATGTACTCGCTGTATGCGCGATAAATTATACCGAGTTAGCGCTCTTAAGATAATTTTCTTGATAATTTTAACTTCAAATATTTATGTGATATAAATTTAAGTTTTCAGTTATAAATCGCGTACAATTAAAGAAATCGTCGACGGAGGAGGTGCTTTACTTTAGTCTGTTCTATTTTTCCACCAGTATAAATAAAATATCTTTTACAAATATTAAAATCACACAAAGTGCAGTAAAACTTTTAGTTAAACAATTTTGAATCTTTAAATTCAATTTTTGGGAAAATATTAAAGATATAAAAAATTATAAGAAATATTTTTTGTATAAAATTAATTTTTTTACAAATTAAGTCATTATAAATATTCTTGTATCTTTTATCATAAGGCAGAATTTTGAATTTAAAGTCAAAGTTTAAAAAATTGAGTGGTCGATTAAAAATTTTTTTAAAATAATTTAAATTGATATTTTAACAAGTTAAACACTAAAATGACCGTGTAAACAATCAGTCTCGCTTTCAGAGAAATTTCCAAAGCCGGACGAGTGCCCGAGCTTTCTACTTAACCAAACAAAAATTTCTAAAAGACCGTAATTTACCTTCGAAATAAATTTAAACTCTGACTGTACCGTGACTGTAAAATGCAGTACAAAATATATTCGTAGTCGGTTAAGTGAAAAAAAAGTTTAAATTCTCGATCGGAGTGAATACAATTCAGCAGAGTGCCGTGACACTGACGCAGAAGAGAGCCATTAAAATTCGGGGAGGTGAATTTGGTGGAATAAATTCTGGAGTTTCAACCCGGGCAGGTATTCCTATTCCAATATCTGGGAGGTACGAGCAAACAGAAGACTTTGTCCGCGTGTCTAGTCCACGGAAACTCCTCTACCTTCTCTATACTGAGCTGTACTACATACAACAGTAACACCGACAGTGGAAGTCGAAAAGTTGTGCATTGTCATTGTCAGTGCATAAACGGAACCGATTGTTGCGCGATGTCGATCGACCGGTGAAAAACTTTTCCCGCTTTCAGTCCTTTCAGCTGGATTTCTTTCTTACACTTTCTTTGCTCTATTCCTGGAGTTTAAGCCAAGTGGTTCAACTCAAAGTCACTCGCTCGGTCCTTTTCTTTTGAGAAGAAAAATCTGGGCGAAAAAAATTTTAAAATAAAAATAAAGGACTCGCGAACGCGAGCGCGGATAAAAAAGCAAAGAAGTAAGCACCAGCAAAACGTTGGAGACAAATGGCAAACGACATAGCTGGCACGTGAGTCTAGTCATATTACTTTCACCACTATGGGTAAACCCGTAAAATTGTCTATCTCCACTGAACTGCACTGGTTACTCACAACTTCTCTCTTACTCTCATGACGTCATGATATACTGGAGTTTATTTTTATATGTAATATACTTGTTGTTTATTTTCTTTTTTTTTTTTTTTTTTTTTTTTTTTTTTTTTTTGATAAAATATTGCGCTGATAAAACCTTGAACAAAAATTCACAACTATCAAACTTCAACGGCTCACTATCATATTTATAAATCTATTTTTAGTTTTATTCGGTGAAACTCGAGATAGAGTTTGGAATAAAGCATGAGATGGATTTCTTTTTCTTCATTTTAAAGCTAAATAAAACTCAAGACATGTGCATGCCTCTAAAAACATATTTGTGATTATGAGTCATGAGTAACATGTCATGTGTCATATGTAAGGACTTGAATTTATATTTATATTTATTTTTGCAATACTAAATGTGATAATTGCCAGCTGCTAATTTACATACGATAGTTTATTGCGTAAATAATGTCGTTTGATTTCATTGAAATTTTATTATATATATTTATGCATTTATGTACATTAACAAGTGCAATACTGGATCGCGATTTCGTAGGTATGAGTAATATAATATAATAAATAATTTATGAAACGGCCTTTCGAAAAATAAATCGGTGGTAATTGTTAGTACCGACAATCATGCGTAAATATGTTTAAATTAATTAGTTTTCATTTACTGGGAGAACTTATATGTTCGAAATTGGGTCTCGGGAATGTTTGTTGTTATTAACTGTGAATATTTACTCGGTTATTGAGCATGGAAATGTTTTTGCTGTCAGTAATTTCGATTTCCTTTGAAGTGAATGTTTCAATGGAAAATTACTGTAAAAGTCAAGTTTTTAGAGAATATGAGTGGAATTGATGATTATTTAACTGCTAAAGTTGCTAACAGGGTTATGATTGGTAATTAAATTTATTGACAGTGATGGTTAATCGAGTATTATTGATTAGTGGATAATGAGGGAGACTATTAAAAAAATTTTGGTAATTAAATTTTATGCGGGAGCTAAACGTAAAATTAATGATTTTTTATGCAAAGTTGGATAAGAAATTATCGGTAGTTAAATTTCGAATAATGGAATTATTAAATAAAAATTGATAGCAAAAGAAATTAAAAATGTTAATAATCGAAAAGTAATTTATTTATAATTTGATTGTATGATGTTGCAAAAAAAAAAAAGCAAAAATTATTGGAAGCAAATTTTTTTGGCGATATAATTTTACTTTTTAAAAAATCTTTTATCTTTATAAATCACAATTGGTAATAATGATAAATACGGACGTTATGTAAATTTAAAAACTTGGCTATGTAAAAATCCAAAAGACGGTTTAAATTAAAAATCTCATTTTATAAATTATAAATTTTTTTCTTAGGCATAATATTTAATTTTAAATTTTAAATTTCTCAAAATTATTAATGTAATAAATTTAAATAAAAATTGAACTAAAAAATATAGGTTTGATGGAGATTCAGTAGTAGTTACTCCACCAACAGCAGAGCATCAAATACCAGGAGGGCCAAATTTCCAATGCATCAACTTGGATCGAAGGGATAGTTTTCCTTTGCCTCAAAATGGTCGATCATCAAGTCTACGTCGACAAAGCATCGCTTTGAACGCTATTATTAATCATAGACGTGCATTAATAGGGTAATTTAAAATTTCAATATTAGTTATTTATTTATATTATTTAATAATAATATATGAAGGAAAAACAACAATATAGAGAAAATAGAAGAGTTGATCAACTTAAGTTGTCTTTTACGGCTGACTATTATTGTTATTTAATAACAAAAGATTGAAAGCACATGAAGATAGAATAAAACAGGCGTCAGTTGATGATTCCAAGTGAGAGTAGAGAGGTGCTATTCACTTAAACCTATTTAATTCTAGCCATGCTAATTCGCAAGAGATACAAGTGCCTAGTGTGTATACACATACACCATATTATATAGAGTAGAGTACAGATAGAGTATAGCATTATATATCAGCCAAATTGAGTTTGATCAAGTATACACAGCAACAAACTAAAGACCCACAACAATACGCAACGCCAGTCAAACACCGCAGACACTGCCGTCGAGGCTGCCAGCTCCCTTGTTTCGCGAAAAGCCAAACAGAATTATATTACACCGCGCGCGATCGAAGCTAACGAAATAAAGCTTTTATGATGGAAAATCGATCATGAAAGGATCCCTCGGCCATTTAAGTTTCTCACTTTATACTCCTCTGTATCTATTTTCATTTCTCCCTCTTTGATTATTATGCCTACTTTTATTATTTTTATTCCATTTTACCATGAATTACCCGAGATTTTACAAATCACGTCTGTCTATTTTTTTTACACTACGCAATAAAAAAACTCCAGCAATAAAAATATCTCCACTTCGAACGCGAGTATTTTTTATTCCGGAGAGCATAAAAAAATTTAGTTTAGTTTTGATTTTATAAAATGCCGGTTTTGGTAACAAATATTGTTTGTTAACGTATACATCCGCAAAAAAAAATATAAAAGGTGAATATCAACTCTTCAGCTATTGTGAATACCATATTTTCATCGGTGTTTTATTTTATAACATTTTTATGGACAAAAAAAAAGACAATGTACTGTGAATAACAATTATGTCAAATTTAAAAACAATTTACCGCCATTGTTCTTCAATTATTTGCTAAAATAACAATATCATAGAAGTAAAATAGGTGAAATGAAATGGTTAACAGATTTAGAGATTAAAAAAAAATTATTCTATAAAAATTGTCTATTATTTTTGTTTCACTTTTTGAAGTTTCAAACTCTACTATCAATAATAATGGTTTAAAAATGAATTTTTTTTTTTAATTATTCAAAAATAATAATTTAGACACGTAAAAATTTAACCGTCATAATTTCGCAAACTTGATATAATTCTACGTAAAATAGCGCTCAGAACGAGCCGATTGGAATCGATTAACAGAGAAATTCCGGATTCTACTTACAAATCCGATTGCAAACGAAATCCTCTACAATAAAACAGCCATGAGGAATTTTTTCTAATTTTTTTTAAAACCATAAAAATATTAATAACCATTTTCAATAAACGTATTGCAAATAAAAAATAAAAAAAAAGGTATTTCCATTTTTTAGTTGAATTTTTTAATAAAAAAATTTTGCATTGAATAGGGCACTGATCTCGGGTATTGGTAGCAACTTGTCTCTGCCATCTTGTGGCACACAAGATCAAAATCCAGGACAAAGCAATAATACGTCAACATCAACAGCGAACCATGACTCGTGCTCGCAGCATTGTCAAGAGATCTCTGATAATCATCGGCCTTATACCAGAGCAGCATCCCACCAGTATTCGAATCTACAACTTACGCCGGTCAATAGCGCGGGCATCCCATTGTGTGCATTGGAGACCTCTAAGTGTAATTATGCATTGCCATTGCGAGTTAACGTCAATTGGAGATACATTTACTGTTATCGTTATCAATAATACGTCGATTGTAATTATTAATATCGATTGTAATTGTTAAATATTAAATATCCAGGCAAGCCGCACTGCCATCGCCGCAGCGGAGGCTCATCTCGGCACCGAAAAGAAAAGCATCGCACGGAATTAATATCCACGGTCAGCACACTTTATGCTAAGCTGCTAATAGTCGTCGGGGTGACGGTCCCAGTAACGGCTAGTGTGAGCCAAAGGGTTCCTCCTGCTCTTGATCAGGTTTGTATTATATTATAAAGTGGACTTATAAATATGAATATAAATATAAATATATCGTGCCCTCATCCCGCATTTGTCGGTCGGTCCTCATCCCGGCTTACGGGTTCCATTTTGCATTAATAATAAATTTCATTATGTGTCGACTAGTGTAGTGCCCCGCGAGCAATATTGCTCGCCTTTATAAGCCTGCACCGCGTAAATGACACTTTATGTTGATGTCGGCATTAATTTGACCTTACGGATACTCAACCATGAGTGATCAACGCTTAAAATATTTTTTAACAATTAGTACTGAAGGAAAAAATTTACTTTTGTGACTTACGAGGTAAAAAAAAATTTTTAATTACAGATTAAAGTACCGTTTATAAAATCTAAGTGCCTTAAATAAAATAAGGAAAAAATTACAGTTTAAAAATTGAATTTTTAAAAAATTTTGAAAATTATGTTTAAAAATTTTCTTGAATTTTTTATTTTGTTTATTAATAATTTTATCTTGACAAGAGAAAAATATTAAAATTTAGTATGAAAGACTTATTATCGAAAAATATAAAACAAGACAATTTTTGTTTAATTATTATTCGTAATTATTGGCAACAAAAGCGCAAATTTAAGTTAGTTAAAAGATAATTTTTAAAACGAGTATAAAATTAATTAAAATTTTTTTCTAGGGATTTTATTTGTACCTCTATCTAGTGAGTGTAGGATTTGTTATCACAATGTACACAATAGTACTCCGAGATAAAGCCGTTAAAAAAATGCTGATCCAGAAAAGAAAAGACGGAATGACTTTTGTATTGGACGACTTCACAGGAAAGCGGCAAAGTTTTCAGGTAAAATATAATTTTAGAGCAAAAAAAAACTAGATAGCTCAAGTTCAAAATATTTAGAGATGAGGCCATATTAATTAACATAAAAAAGTGGCTGATAAAGCCGACAGGCATGGAAATGGAGCCATAAAATAAAAAAAGCTCAGGTGGCATTAAACCGGCGAGAAACTCGATACAGAAAATGTTATGCCGGGTAATTCAAAATACCGATAATTGTTGAAGGGCTGCAAGGGGTCGGAACAGTAAGAATTAAAAGTAAATAAAAATAAAAGTTTATAAATTCAGCAGGCGCAGCAGTATGGGAGCTTTTGTCTGCGTCTAGGTGCCATCGGGTTCGGAGCTGGCTCATTAGTGTTTACTGGATTGCAAATCGGTGCTGCTATTGCATCTGCTGGTCCATTAAAAGCGATTACACCAAGTGCAAGGCTTCTTTTAGTGACCGCTCAAATGCACTTTATATTTTTGAACAGCAAAGATCTCGAACTCGCTAAGCACAGTCCTCTCGCTAAATTAGGGCTCATGCATATGATTGCTACCAATCTTTGTGAATGGCTGCAGGTAATTTTTTTTTTGTTACTACAATTGATATTATCAATTTTTTATTATCCAATATTAAATTTTGTCTGACTTTGATCATTTTTCTGATGAACAGGCACTTGTAGAAGAGACAAGGCATGAAATCGCGCATTTAGAATTACACGATCACGAGCTCAATGAAGAAGGAATACTAAAGACGCTTCTGACAGACGCAAGTCCCTTTTTATTTCCTTGCACTATTGAATTCAGCCTGATTTGCGCCGTTATTCTTTTCGAAATGTGGAAGCGCGTTGACAGAATGGTTGTCGTGAAACACGACGGTTCTGCAAAGTCATTACATCAACTGAGCATCGACTGCAGCAACGCTCATAAAGGTCTCTTTGGCGGAATTTTGGTAATCGCAGCCACTGTTTTGAGTTTGATAATGTTTTTCGTCCTCAAAAAATCAAAGTCAAAAATGGCTATTGAGCAAGTTACTGCTCTTGAAACCGCCATTTTAATTGCAGGTAACTATTTATATCACTCAAATCAATACTTTAGTGCTTTTATACTTCAATACTCTATTAAAAGGAAAAAAAATTTTTTTTTTTTAACACTTAAAAAGTAAAATTGAGTTTTAAAGTTTCAGAATTTATAAGCTATTAAAATATTGATGTTTAAATTTCAACTGAATTCAAACTACAATAATCTGATTAAAATTTTCAAAGCGTTTTATATTAAAGTACAGACTCGTTTATCATATTTTTTCGTGTTTCAAATATTTTATCAAAAATTATCATGAATAAATCTTCATTTTTTAATAATTAAAAAAAAAACTTTTTTTCTTTTTTTTAATTCTGAGCTGTTTAAAATTAACAAGTTAAAAAAACCCGTTTTCCATATTATTGCTCTAATCAGGTCTAAATTCTTCTATAATTAATTAAAAATCAGGATGTTGTAGACCAAATTGATGTTATATTTTTTTATTTAATTTATTTTAACATGCGACGTTTCGTCAGTTTTTTTCTGACATAATCAGGCACCTTAAAATTTTTACGATACAAAAATACATAATCCTTAATTTACAAAAATTACTGCACATGATATTTTATACAAAAAAACTTTTCATTTTGGAAGATACTTGTATCTTCCAAACAAGGACTGAAATCTCGTGTTTATTTGAAGATTATTGTTGATAATTTGTAAATTGTCAATATTAACCAAATAATGAAAGACGAATTTTTTAAACACATTGTTGACGAGGTTTTTAAAATATATCCTGATTTTTAATTAATTAGTTAAAAAAAATTTCTAATGTAAAATAAAAACTAAAACTAAAACTCAACTAAATGAATTTAATTTAGGTGCAATCGCGTCTGTAAGTTGCGCACTTAAATTACGGCGTTTAGAACTGAAGAACACGAAACCCGCACCTCATCTTGACTCGACTTTGCTGGCAGCGGCACAAGCGGGTGTCTATCTCCATTGTTTATTTGGTGCAGTCGGCGGGATATTGACAATGGGCCCAACTTGGGTACTATCACTTACCGCTGATTTCATCGCTTTGATTCAAAGCACTAGTCAAACTCTTCTAGTCAAGGTATACATATACTCATACATACATAATAAGTCTGTGCAGTAACGACACCACAGTATAATACACCGTCGCAGAATAATACTTAGTCTGGTCTACTAGTTATGATAGTAGTTTCTGTCGTGGTTCTACCACGCTTTGATATTTCAATCAAATGTGCCCATAAATCAATACTGAGTGTGTCGCATTATATTACATAGTTTGAACCAACTAGAAGTACAAGGTACAATGTTATACCTATATAATGCCTTGGTTTATTTGTTTGCGCCGCAGATTGCTTGGCGAAGACGCTCCTCGTCAACGAAGAAGCCCGGCAAGGAGCTCATAACCTTCCTGATTGTCGTCAACATCGCTTTGTGGGCAGTCAACACTCTTGAGAAGTCCAGAGCTGACGTCAGGCCGGACCACCTTCATTTCTTCGGCGTCTGGGCCTGGACTATAATCACCCACGTCTCGATGCCACTGGCCATTTTCTTCCGGTTTCACTCCTCGATTTGCTTGTTTGAAGTTTGGAAAAGCTGCTACAAGTACAAACCGGCCCTACATACTCGTCCTTAATGTTTTTTTATTCGATAGGTTTTATAAATATTCAAATTTAAGTGTTTATTAAATTCTGGTTTAATAATTCAAGAGCTCTTGATTGTAAACGCCGAAGTTACAATTGTTGAATACTTCGCTCTTGAATTGTATTAAAAGGGCTCAACTTTTAACTGCACTTTACTTCAGGAGCTGGAATGTGGAATTAAACTCGTTGATTAGCTTTTAGAGTGTCTTTTATACGTTCTGGGTCAAATCGCTGCTCATATTTTTTTATATTATATGAAGAAAGTATTTAATTGGTTTTGAATTTTATTTTTCATTGGAGTTTCATGTTTAGTAATATTGAATTTATCATTGATTTTTTATATAAAATTATACTAGTATTAAAAGAACATGAGTAAAAAAAAAATTATTATTCAAGTAAGGAGAGTTTTACTTAATTCATTAAATGTAATCTTAATCGTAATTTTAAAAAATTTAAGTGAATTAAATAATTTTTTTTTAATTTTCAATTTTTATAGCCAGAAATTCAAAGCGTTTAATTTTTGAAGCAAAAAGCCAGAAAATTTTTTAAGAGTGCCTGCAAAAAAAATTTTTTTAATTTAATTAATTATTATTTATAAGTTAAACTTGAGATAAATTGTTTGAAATATCTGTTAGTAATTTTTGCATATGAAATTTGTGTCAGCTAATTGAAATTTTTTTTAATTTTAAAATTAAAATTCATATTTCCTTCGTTAAAAAAAAAAAAATTCCAGATTTATTCCGTACTTTCACAATGTACAATGTTTTTTTTTCTTTATCATCTCTCTGGTCTTTCGTCGAAGCCCTCAGCTTCGTTTAAAAATCTGTTTCCCTGTCCTGGCTCTCAAAGTGAAAATAGAAACAGAAGAGAAGAGAAGCAATAATAACTAAAATTCGATAGACTATTTACAAAAAATCTCTCAGACGGTAAAGTAAACTGGTAATGGAGTGGAAGGATTGAGAAGTTGCCGTCGAGAAGATGAACACTCAATAGCTGGTCAACTAAATCATGAAGCCCTCACGCACCCCACTTGGACGAGCGAGCACACACTCCGCTGGGTGACGAACCAACAGCAACAAAGGGTTGCTACAAGAGCTCTTCAGTAACGACCCAATGACCAGCGCACTCACTACCGCTACACTGTACCCATAACCGAATATACAGCCACCCACTCCCAACCCCTGCCTCCTACCGTCCCCAAACTCACCCTCTTGTCAGTCTCTATGTCTATGAAGCTCTACACAATACTCAACTCCTCCTCGTATTCATACTCATCTGTTTCACCACTTGATCCGTGGTGCTCCTCAACGTCGCGGTCCCGCTTTCTCCTATCCGCTCACTTTGCAACATGATTGCCACCCAAATGTGTTTACCGTATCATAGTGTACAACAGTATAGTATGGTATAGCATAGTAGTAACCCGTAAACCGATCAAACTCTCGATGTTCGCCTTTCTCGATCCCTGCTTTGTTTGAAAACAGTTTCTTTTTTTTTTTCAATTCTTTTTTTTGAATTGTTGAATTTTTTTCAAACAAAATTTAATCACGGATGATATTGAATCTAGTACACTCATAAAAATAATTTAGTTGAAATAAAAAAAATACGGAGCTACAAAAAAATATGTCGTAGTAACAAATGAGTTTACTTATGGTATTAAATTAATTAGTTATTTTAACAAATTAATTATTCTAACAAAAAATCAATTTGTTGTCTCAACAATAATCATTTTTTTGTTATAATAATATCTGTTTGTTATTACAACTAAATTATTTCATCACCACTAGCAACCTTGCAGTCACTAAATGACTGCCGTAACTTGTGAACTATAAATAAACGAAAATTTTGATGATTAAATAATGACTTTTGTTAAATTGCACTGTACTTTCTTAAATATTGGCGTTCTTAAAGATATAAGCTCATCCCGATGTTACACTCATCAAGAGCTTTCATTTGAGTACCCACATGCATTTTAGATATATTTTTCATATATACATATATGTTATATTTATAAATATATAAAATATATGAAAAATTGATGTGGGTACTCAAATGAAAGGTCTCGACGAGTGTAATGTCGGGGTGAGCTTATATCTTTAAAAATGTCCATAGTTCTCAAGATACAAAGTCATTTCTTAATTATGTATCCAGAAATAAAGCATTTTCGAATGCAGCCTAAATACTCATCATCATAAATTGACTATTTGTGAGAGTGATATAAAACCTTGAAAAGGCAGAATTTCCAGTCAAAATCTTTGCAATGACATTAAATTTTACTTAAAAACCCGATTTTATCCTATAATTATCCTGGATACAAAATTTTTCTTATTATCTTAATAATATAAATTACTCAGCTGATTTTGTTAAAATAAAAAAATTTATTTGTTGCTTTAACAAAATACATTTATTTATTTAGCTAAAAAGTTTTGTTGATCTAACTAAAGAGTTCTGTTACAATAAAGAGGAAAATTATTGATCCAACAAAATTATATTGTAGAATTTTATCAAGTAAAATTTACTTAAACCAAAAAATAAATATTGGGTGGAAAAAAGGATGAGAATATCTGTGTCCTGGTGGTAAAAGGAGCAAATGCATCAAGATAGGAGCTGAGGACGATGACAACGGGTAAAGAAAAGAATCCTTGATATATCCGCCAAACACAGCGGGTCCCCGGTTACACGTCTTCTGGATTTATCGGAGCCGGATAATAAATGGGCGCTCTCTGCGCTAAGTCCGTGGCGAGTAAACGCCTCTAAATAATACAACACGTCAATGCAACAGCCTTAAACTTATAAATTATTGATTTCGCCGAAGGAAAGGGTGATAAGAACCCAAATAAAATTGCTTATAAATTGATTGTCAGTAAAATAAAATAGAAAGGGTCAATCTGGTCTGGGGAGTCTCTAGATAGACTTGCTAGCATTTATAAGGGTATTTTTAATCGATGAATACATAATTGCCATGAGTAACTTTTGGTTTGATTGAAATGTTTACTCAAGTAAATTATTATTTGTAGGTAGATATTTTTCATTTACATTACTAAAAAAATTAAAAAAAAAAAAATCAAGCTGTTTATTTAAAATCCTAAAAAATAAAACAATGTCAAAAAAATAGATGAATTAAAATTTTAAAGTGTTAATTAATTAAAAAAAAATATTTGAATAGTAATAAAATAGTCAAAAGAACAAATTTTAATCAGATGAAGGACAAAAATTGAGACAAGAAGATAACCGGACAATTCCAAAATTGGAGAGATAAATTTTATTTTAAATATGAACTAAATTTTTTTGCCCTCAGAAAAAACTGCAATAAATAATAATTAATGAATAATGACAGCTATGTAAATGTCAGAAAAATTAAAGTGCAACATTTGAAATATTAAAAATTAAAAAAAAAAATTGAGGATATTTTATAAATTTCATTTTTGTCCAGTTTTATGTTTAATTACGACAAGAGTAATCATAATAATCCAAATAATGAGAGTAAAATATCATCTAGATAAACATAAAAAAATAAATATTTACAGACGATAAATATAGAATATGAAAGATAAAATATCATTTTTATGCAAGTACTAGATTAATTTTAAAAGTTGTTCTCCCATTTTATTATAAACCCAGTTAGTCTACTAGTTCGTTTCGTCTCGCCGGCGACATTGTCGCTTACCTGGTGAACGCGGGAGATGGAATATAAATACGATTTTCGCTAAACGGGGTTTAAAGGGAGCGAAGAGCGAGGAGGGTTCTCGACTTCCAGCTGAGCAGTAGGGTCGCCCTCGGCAAGACTAAGGCCGGCGAGGAGGAAGGGATGGGGTGATAATCGGTAGCCACCAAGGCCTCATTTCCGCCGGAAACAAAATTCTGCGTCTGCCCTAAACGCCAGTCTTTCACTCGCTCCGTCCTACCTTCACTGTTTTTATTTTTCTTTTAATCTTTCGGCTATATCTAAGCAACCAACCTTTCGTTAGTCAATCGAATTAAATACCTCCACTAAATTCCAGTTTTTAAATCTACTTTTTTTCTAACTTGTACTTGTCAGTTGATATTTATTCAAGTACGCCAGCACTCATTTTTTTAAAATTAAAATTTCATTATGTCGAGAGCAAATTGTTTTATTAATTCGGGAATGACTATTTCAATTTATTTATTGTTTATTTTTTTTTTCGAACACTAGAGAGTCGATAAGTGATTTTTGATTAAACTTTGTATCAGCAATATTCTGCTCGATCCACTTATTACTTTTTTATTATCATTATTACTATTATTATTCATTTAAATTTAATCTCCTTGATTTTTATGGAAATTATTCATTAAAATAGTTTTAGGGTTTTAATTTTAATATTTAAAAAATTCAATCTAAAAATTTAATTTCATTATTAAGCGATTAAAAATGTTTTTATTATTTTTGTAGTGAATTCATTTGAATTACAAAATTACAAAATTTATAGAAAAATATTTTGTAATAAAAAAATTATAAAATTTATTTGGATTTTAATTTGACTTAACTCAAAAAATTAAAGACTAATTTTAAAAAATTTTATAACTTAATAAAAAAATAAATTATTGGATGTAAAATTGTTCCATTTTTTTTTAATATTAGAATTTAATAATTTGTTAACTCAGTAAAAATTTAATTTAATTTATTTTGAATTATAATTTGACAAAAAAAAAAATAAAAAATTACGCTTTGAAAGCTGTCGTTTAATTAATTAAATAAAATTTATTATTCATTGCTGAGAGAAAATGATTGCTTAATTTCTTCTATATTAATTGCGCATCACCGCGGCAAATTAATTGAATAAAAAAAAATTACAGTTAAAAAGAAGTAAAAAAAAAAATATTTAAAGAGTCTAGTGGGTGGAAATGATCCAGTGTAAGCTCTGGATCGAGAGTAGACTCATGATATAATTAGATGGTGCCACATAAGCAGAAAGCGAAGCAAAGAAAATGCGAGATATAATTGAGGCAGTAAAAAAGTGGCTCAGACTATTGGTAAGATGAGCAGAGAAGATCGAGCGAGTGGTAATACCTGGTGGTCTACAAAGATGTGATTTTCGCTGTATGACTGGATTAGAAGCCGGCTTTTCCTGCTTTATTTACTGGAGAAAAAATATTGTCCGTTTAAAAGCTCAACTATCTATTCCATTACACGTAATGAAGGATAATACCTATTCAAACATTATTAAATTTATATTATTATAAAAGATTTGGTTTAAATACTTCACTCACTTCATTTCATTTTACTGTTATTATTGTTATTTGTTTTATTTTCAGTCGGGGCGGAGACGAGCTGGCTGAGAGTCTGATGAGTAATAAATTCACTCGGGAGTTTTTTTTTAACGTAAAATCCTATTTGTTGCTGAGAAAAGAGGCGGCAGTGAATAGGAGGCGAATAAGCCAAAACTTTTACATCCAGGCTCGGGTAAGACCGGATAATCGGATCATTCAGACGTTCTATAAAAATGAATTTAAAAAAAAAATCAAACCGAAGACACGTTCGCACATCTCCGCCGCTTCACTCGCAAATATATTTTTACTGTAATTTTACAGATAAACGCGTTTGGTCACCAGAATACTAATAGTATTTCCAATTTCGAGTTTCACTCATGAAATAACTATTACTTTTAGTTATAATACCATTATTTTGTGATTAAAAGTATTGAAATTTATTAATTTTAAACATAAAGTAATTTAAATTACATAAATATTTATTTAAATTAATACGAAATTTGATGTTGCAGATCGAATATTGACGATCTTAGTATTTTTATCAAGATAAGATGTCCTCACACTGCCCAAATTTTATTTCTAATAGTAGTAACTCTTGATGTTGTGGGGATTATTATTATTATTATCAATTATAATTAACAGTAAAACTTAAATTATTTGTAGGAGAGTTTTACTCTGCTGAGTAATGTTATAAAAGCACTTAGTGACCGTACCTGAAAAATAAATAAACAATTATTAATATTTAGAATTAATTGTTAATTTGTTTAATTAAAATTAAATAAATATATTAGTAGTTAATGATAAAACATACTCAGTTTATTAAAATTTTTTACTGAATAATTAATAATAAAAAGAATCTTTTAGAATGTTCTTAAAATATTAATAAATAAATTGATTTAATTACTTAAAATCAAATCTTGATTTATTATGTAGATAAATTATTTGAGTTTAATTTTATACTAATGCTAAGATTAAAAATTTAAATATATGAGTGAAAAATTAAGACAAGAGTAATCGTTAATAATTTAACAGAAATTTGGAATAATTAATCAATTTATCGAGAAATTCTTTGCTTATAAGTAAAACTTGTAATTAAGCGATTAAAAATTTAAATAGAATAAATCTTTAATTGAATACTCAGATGATTAAATATAATATTAAAATAATTTGATCATTTACTTTGCATAATAAGTAAAATATTAAGAAAAATTATTTTGTAGAATGACTAAATTTTTTACGTTTTACAAAATGGATATTATTATTATTGTTATTTTTGTTCAAAGATAATTAAGTGTGAAAAAATTGAAAATTTTCTGCTAACAATAAATAAATATTTTAAAAATAAAAAATTACTTACTTTTGGAACTCCCACTCACGATTATCAAGAGGACAAACTTGACGTGTCTTAAGCCAACGAGAAATGCAATGAAAATGAAAAGCGTGCTGCAATAAAAAAAATAATTAATTAGTCTCGACGCGAATTTAGCGAAGAATAATAATAATAATTAATTTAATAATATTAAATCAACAAATATTCATTTTTTTATCTTTTAATAAAATTCATAAAAAAATTTTTTTTTTTGTTAATTTAATATTATGCAAGATTAAGTTTTTAATTGAATTCATAAATAATTTTTTTTTTCTCTTACATTGCAAACTCCCCAAGCTACTGTACATTCCTCACTGGTAGCTGATGCTTGATTTGCTTGGCACTCAATGCAAAGATCCATAATGTGGTTTCGACAAATAGCACAATTATCGACAACAATATCTGTAAAATATAATTCAATGAAATTTTATGTTAATGAGCTTTGGGACAAGCCCTTTAAAAGACAAAAGAAGTGAATACAAAGAGTATATTTAATAAGGAAATCCTTTCGCTCCAGTTGAGTCAAAACAATTGTAGTAGTTAATATACGATAAATTAAAAAAAGAAACCCATAAAAATTCCTAAAATTAAATAATAAATAGTATATGAGGCATTAATCGTTGAAATTTTGAAAATAAAAAAAAAATTAGTTAAATACAAAAATTAATTTGACTCTTTCAAATCAGCTGCTAGTAACCTGTCCGTGATTTGGCAACGCTGTACTTCGGTTGTTTACATTTTCATTTGCACAATATAACCTTAACCACGTTTAAGTTTTTGCAGTCAGTGTAAATAAATAAATTAGTTTGAATTTATTGAATGGTCTGAAGCTCGCGTGCTACGCAACGTTGCCAAATGTTTTGACTCCATTTTAACGTAGGTTACTTGAGAATTTTTTGTGATTTTTAAATATTAATTTCTCAATAAATATCTCGGTAACTGATATATTTTATTGCAAAAAAAGAAACCTGAATATTTCCAAAATCTAATTTTTAGTTTTTTTTTACTTCATCTAATCCATGACTGATAGTATAATCCGAGAAATACTGCAAACGTCTGACTTTCTTGTAAGACTCTGAACAAATACTAACATTTAAAAATTTTATTTTTTCAAAAATTTGTCCGGTAAAGTATAATTTAAACCTCACTATTAGATAAATAAGGACCTTAACTATTAGAAAAAAATTGAATTTACTCATAATCTAATATTCTTTATTTTACATTGGCGGCGAAAGGACCTCCTTAAAAATTAATTATAAAGAAGGAATAATTAGTTTTAGCGTACAATGATAATATAAATTTAAATACGCTTTGGTAAAATAATTAGAAAAAAAAATGAGAAATTAGTTTGAAAAATTATTATAAAATCAGCAAAAATTTTTGTTTTAAATAATTCAATAAAAAAATTTTTTCAATTGTTAGTTTGTAATTATTGACAAAATTATTAAAAAAAAAAATTAAAACACGTGCTGCAATTCACAATTATAAAATTAGGTTCGATATCAAAATTAAATGAATCTGAATAAAAAAATTAATTATTTAAGACAAAAATATAAGAAAAAACAAAGACAGTCTATAGTTTTTATAAATGGACAAAAAAAATGTTGACTTACCCCAAGCCCAAAGTGCGACAGCGTTCCACTTTAATAAAAAAAAAAAATCATTATTAATTAAATGCAACAACATAATTAATGAAGGATATTAAAAAAAATAAACTACAAAATGACTAAGCATCAGGTAGTAAATATTAGGTTATAAAAACGTCGGACATAGAGGCGAGTAAATAAATACGGTGTTCACGGACATTGATAAGAATAAATAGAATAAATAATTACCTTTTTAACTTCAAAGCGTTTTTTGTCGCCTCTTCCACTACTGGAAGTAGGCATATCAATCTCTTCTTCGTCAACATCCATCGCTGCTGATGCCATTTTGATAATTTTGTGTTTAACTTTTACTTTAAACTGCGATGTTTGCGAGTGAATAACCGAAAGTGATTTAACCACCAACACACGCAACGGCGGTTTTAAAGTGCTCGATAGTTCGAATTCTCTTTGAACGGAGCGCTAGTAGTACAAGACCAAAGCGCGGGAAATTTAAAAAATTTGTAACGGAAAAAATAATTTTTGTATGTAAAGATTCAATAAAAAATTTTAATTTAAAAAAATAAAAATTTTTTATGATACTAAAGTTAGCCAACGTTTTTAATTATTTGATATTTTTTTAATAATTAAATTAAAACAAAAAAATATTTTTAAAAAATTTCACTTACAATTTTTAAAGTTTTTTACAAGTGACATTTTTAAAAAATTTTTTTGTAATAATTTTTTCAATAAAAAAAAAATCTAAAATTTTTTAAATGTCGGCTAACTTAATTTTCATAATTTTTTTTTAATTTGTTGAATATTTTTTTTTTAATTTTTAATCGCCAATGGGCTCAATTAAAAATTTTTCATAATTTTTTAAGTCAGTCATTTCAAGAAAATAAAAGAATGCAGTAGACAGATCGAAAAATGGCGGGAAAAAATGCGCATAAAAATACAACGCTTTTTAAAGTGAAATAAGTGTTAATTAACAAATATTTTAATTTAATTTTATCACTTACCTTCTATTCTTCTACCAGATGATGAAATTCCGCGGCTGGGCTGCTAAAAAATTCACTTTTCCTGCAAACACTTTTTTGCGAACATTTGGCGGCCATCTTCGTGATGACTATGCACAAACTCACTTTTAGACATTTATAGTAAAATTAAAGAAAAGAAAAAATAAAAACACTACAATATTACTTATTACTTGTTAAAAATTATAAAGAAAGTAAGAAATTAAGAATCTAACGGGTTAGGCATTCAATTTTGCATCTGAAATGTAAAAAGAGAGTAAGATGTCCGCGACGCGCTCGGAATTGTGTGTTACTTCATTGAGAGCTCGGTCAATACTGCAGCGGGCTGCTGCGCCCAGCGGAAACGTACGTTATCCCCACTCCGCGTCTTGTAAGCGCGACTAGCTATTGGTCAGTCCGATCATGCGATCGAGAAAAAAAATAAAATATAATTTTTTTAACTTTTTTAATTTATTTTATTTATTTATTTAAAAAATTTTATTAATGTAATTTTATTATTGTAAAATTAACCGACATTATTATTTCCGGTATTGAAAATTCAAAAACTTTAAAAAACGACGATGGATAAAAATTGAAAAAATTTAATTCAGAAAAATAATATTTTTCTTTTTTAAATAATAAAAAATTACAAATTAAAGATAAAATTATAACTTCTTTACATCAAACAAATGTACTGATAGTTTATTTTTATTGTAATTGTTTCTACATTTTTAAACGTTTATTTTGTTTTTACACTCAGAATTTAAATTGATAAAATATTCAAGTTCATTGTTAAAAATTAAGTTATATAAATTCTTGTAAAATAATAAAATATAATTATTAATTGGATATATAACTATTAATAAAATTGTTTAAAATGTTCTATAGAATAAAATGAAAAAACTCAAGTCCAACTGTCCTTTATAATTAGTGTTAATTTTTTTACTTAACTTCTGCTTGCAAAAATCCACTCCGCTCAGAATGACAAGTACCTGTAAATTTTTATTTTAAAAAACAGTTGACCTAGATACTAAAAAAAATGATATAAGGCGTAAAAAAAATCCAAACGTGTTTTTTATTTATTTATTTTAATTTTAAACAACGTCTTTCATAATTAATAGTAATAATAACTAATATCAATTAAAAAAAAGTCTCGTATGAAATTCACTTAATCGCTTACTGCTATAATCCAATCAAGGGAGAAGCGTAGCCTGCATTAATTTTGTGTTATTAAAAATGAAAATAATTCAGAGATATTTAATGACTGATAAGATATAAAATCGGGATGAAAAGAAAAAAAATATTTACAGATAAAGATCTCTGGTTTTTTTTTTTTTTCTTCAATAAGATGAATGAATTATTTTTCTATTGTTTATATTATAATAATATTATCAATTTGAAAAATTGTTTAAATTAAAGTTATTACTAGGTACACTGATGATAAAGAGTTACTCGCGTAGCTTGTCTCTCTATTTGTTAAATCGATGTACATTTAAAACTTTTACGACGATATTTTTTTTTTCATTAACTCTTGTGTTAGTACTCGAGTGTTACGTCGTGAAATGCGTGTATAAGTCATTATTTTTTTTAACTTTTTCTTATTTTTTTTTCTTTATTTTTTTTTTTTAATAAAATTATTTATTTTTTTTTTTTACTTTTTTTTTCTACTAATATTTGTCAATTATAAATTGTTGCCCTGTGAAACTGCCTTCTATCACAACACAATAATACTTGCGTGGTGGGTTCAGTTTATTATTATTTTTTTTTTCTTCAATTAGTTAATAATTATTTAACTCTTGATCAACGAAGATTATGTTGTCAGTTGCATCGTTCTATTATACAATAGTAATGTCACTCATTTAACAAGTAATTAAATTAATTACTTTTTTAAGATGGTTAATAATATTCATACGCGTTTTAAGTTCTTCGCTTTCACAATTTACAAGACGCAGGTTTCAAAATTTTTCATTTAAGCGTAATTATTATTTAATAATCTATAAATAAGATTATCAACAAAAATTATTAACTATTGAAAAGAGAAACGACGAAAAGAAAAAAAAATATATAAATATATATAGATATTTATTTAAATAGATATATTCTTGAATTATGAAAGTTAATTCAACTTATTTTACAACGCGGATTATTAAAAAAAAAAAAAAAGATATATTTATATATATGTATATATTTTAATAATATAAATAAATGAATTTTCTTTTCGTCGTTTCTCGTGTTTGATGAAGAGAAAATTTTGAAAGTTCCCGCTTTTATAATTATTTAAATGATATTAAGAATGTTATTATTAAAAGTGCATTTAACGCGTATCGATTTTAGATTTTAGATTTTAAAATCTTTTAGATCGTGAAATAATTATTGTTGCGTTTGTGGCTTGCCACGTGGTGCGTAACCACCGCCGCGATTTCCGCCTCTTTGACCGCCACGGAATTGTCCACCGCGTCCACCTCTATCGATTCCCACGCGATCTCCTCCCCTTGAATTGGTACGTGGTCCACCACTGCCGCCGTTGGCACCACCTCGCTCGCGTTTGAAGCCTCCACCGTTGTAATTGGAGCTCCCGCCGTCATTGTTGTAATTGCGTTGCTGATAACCGTTCTGATAATTCGAGTTGTCATTGCGATAATAGGATCCTAAAGCAAAAAAACAACGATGTTTAAACAAATATATTATAAGTATTATAACAAACCTACTGAACAATATATATTTAAAAAAAATATACACCAAGCAACAATAAAATATCTTATTAAAAAATTCATTGATAAATTTATAAACCTAAAATTTTCAAATAAATAAAGGCCATTTGGTAGCCGAAATGGAAGTAGATTTTATAATGAATAGAAAAAAAAAACTATTAGGATTGTATATAAAAAAAAAAAAAAAAAAAAAAAAAAAAAAAAAAAAAAAAAACCGTGCAACAGCAAATTCATGATTAGCATAGCGGAGTACGACATAATTTTGAGACTCCACATATAATAATATTATATTATAGTACTCAAACTGAATCAAATTTAAATAGCTTTCAAATGCAATTTACAGAGATTCAATAAGTTATCCCATTCAAAAGTTATTCCAGTATAGTAAGAAAGTGAAGAAATATGAATTTTTATGATTTTGAAAATTTTGAAATCCTGGCATTTATAAATTACTTGACCGATTAAGCTCATATTTGAACTTGACTTCGGTATCTATCTGTAGAATAAGTATGTTAAATTTGGTGAAGATCCGTTCCTAATTTTAGACACTATCGTCCTTACAAGTCGCGTTATAACCCATATATATATATATATATAAATAAACTAAGTCGAAATATATTAAAATTTTTTAAAAATTCCATGAGGACCAATGCTTAGTTAAATTTCTATGAAATCTAAAAATTAATCATTTTCCAACCTAGAATACTTATAAAAAAAAAATAACTCGTGACTGTTAACTAGCTCACTAAGCAAGTTTCTATTATCAAAATGGATATCGATTAACCTTCAAGATTATACAATATCAATAAAAGACTAATTAGAAAAGCCGACCGCAAATGAATTAACCATAAAATTGTTGACATAATAAATTACCTTGTCCGCCTCCACCACGTCCATTCTGCTGGTAATTACCAGTGCCCCTTCCTCGGCTATTGTAACCATTAGAGTTACCACGACGTCCACCACGACCTCGGTAGCTACTCCTCTGTTCACCCCATCCTTGCTGGGACTGCTGGTGGTCTGAGTGTTCGGACTGCTGGGCGTTGTCATTAGACCACTCGTCCATAGGGGCGTCGGCCATTTGACACCAATTAACCGGTTCACTTGCTGGATCTGCTTCTACTGGAGCTACTTCAGTTTCTTCTGCGTGCTGCTCTGGTTTTTCCTAATAAAATACAAACACTCGTTAGTGTTAAAGAAACTTGAGAGCAAAGTAAATAACAAGTAATTTATTTATTTTCCAGCAATGAGAAAGTACACACCTCAGACTGCTGAGTTTCTTGCTGATCAAAGTTCTGCGTCGGCTGGATAGCCTGTTGCCCTGGAGCGGGTGGTTGGAACTGTCCAGCAGGATGTTGAGGACTGTAAGGGATGTTCTGTTGATGAGAAGGTGGCATAGGTATTGGCGGCGGAGGATTAGGATTCGCAAAGCCGGGAATATGAGACATTTCCTGCGGTGCATGCTGGTAGATAACCTGCTGCGGCACTTGGACAGGTGCTCCAGTGAAGTTTTGGTTGGTGAAGGTTTGGGTTGGAATTGGAGCGTTTACTGGAGGCGGAGGAATGTGTTGAACAATGGTCGGTGGTTGTCCGGCAGCACCTTCCGGTGGGTCGAGCTCAGACTCCTGCAGAAAGAAGAAATTTGGTGTTCCAATAACGTCATTGATGCGTGGTGTTTGTTGCTGTTGTTGTTGCGGCTGTGGCTGCTGGGGTTGCTGGGGTTGCGGCACATAACCAGCCGCATTTGCGTAGTACGCCGTTTCAACAGGTGCTGGTGGGTGCGGTGCTGGTATAGCCTGCGGTGTAACTACCGCCATTGGGCCAGCTACAGGGGCTCCACCGGCAACAACCGCTACCGGTGTTACTTGTACAGGAAAATTGGGCATTGGAATCATTGACTCCGGGGGTGGAATGATTGTTACGTCGCCGGAATTATTTGTGAATTCTTCCGACGGCTGCTCAACAATATTTTTACCATCACCAGTGGCAACTTCTACTGGTGCTTCTAGAGCCTTTAATCAAGTCAAAATTTATTTTGTTAGCTAATTTTTTTTGCTAAAATTTAATCCTTAAAAAAGCAACTCTATCATCTATTGAGAAAAAATTTACAATTATACAAAATCATAAACATAATAAATAATACAAATTTTTTTCATTTTCTTATAGAGAATTTAATTTTTTTTTTTTTAATAAATTCATGTAAATTATATTTTATTTTATATTTTTATGTAAATATTTATGAGTAAAAATTTTTTTATTATTTTAAGAGATATTAAATTCTCTATTAAAAGAAAAAAAAATAATGATAATTAAGAGTGAATTTTTTATAAAAAATAATTACTTACAACTTCATTAGTGATGACTTCAGTCTCTACAGTCTGGACCTGATCAAAGTATCCACAAGCTTGGACAGACGTGATAATTTCTTTAATCCTCAGGTAAGTAGTACCAGCGACCTCACGCTGCTTGCCCTCGAGAATTCCCATGTAATGTTCAGCTGCCTTTTGTAATTGCTGCATAAACGGTGGGTCGTTTGGTTCAAGCTGACGCTTCATTGTTACTTCGTTGTAAAAATCGTCCAGGAACTTTAGGTCATCTTGCGTCAATTTTATTGCGCCATTCCCACCAGTGAGAAAGTCCTCGCGGACAACTTCTCCGCCGATGTTAATCAGCACATCTTGGATCAACAGGACTTCTCGGATCTGAAAAGATATTAACGTTTAAAAATAATCATCAACTACAAATTCAATATAAAAATAATGTTAATTTTTTTTTTTTTATTTAAAATTACAGATCTTAGTTTAAAAAAAAATTCATAATTTATTAGACTGACAATAGAAAACTTGACATTGTTTACGGTAAGAAAAAAAATTTACGATTCGTAAAAAATATACACGTAAAATAAAATAATCTGTGAACAAATATTAAAGCTTGTAAAGTAAATAAAATTTCCAGACAAATTGGAGATTATTTAAATTTCTAAAAAAGATTTGTCAATACTTGATTTGAAATTTTTAGATGTTGTTATAATTTACCAAACTAAAGAAAAAAAAATGATTATTATTATCATTATTAATAATTTGTTAAATCAAAGATAGTTAATATTATAACCATATTTATTCTCTGATGGTATGAGACCTCATACCGATAAAATATTATGGTGAAGGAATAATAACGAAAAATTAGTCATTATCCAACAATTTGGATGGGGTATTCTGGCTTATAATACTAACTATCTTTGATTTAATAAATTTAAAAACACCGATCTTCATATATTAATTATACATTATTAATAATGAATGAATGAATGAATAATTAAAACACCTTAGAAATGTCCTGCTGCATTCTCTCCAATGCTTCCTTCCTCGCCTGTTTCTTCTGTTGCTTAGCAAAGTCATTGGAGATACCAACAATTTGCTTGTAGAGCTCCCGAGTTATCTCCAAGGTCTGCAACACTTCATCGTACTTGGCGACTGCGGTTTTTTGGTCAAGATTCAATTCTTTTCCATTTTTCTGAAGGTCTTTTAACGCTTCGAGTTTGCCCTACAATAATAAAACCTTCAATTGTTATGATTTCATCCATTGAACAATTGAATCATCAATATAAAATTATAAAATAAAAAATACAATAAAAGTTAAGTATAAGCCAACAACCAACAAGTAAAACAAAAAAAAATATAATCTATATATTGAGTATAAGCGACAGCTTAAATAATTCTTTTACTATAAAATTCCAGGAAAATGTAAATACAAGCATTCTATACGCTCAAAGCAAGCAATAGCATTCTTTGCTTAGTAATTTAACTATTTTTTTTTTTTACAATTCTCTCGCTGCAAAAAAGTAATATAAATAAATAAAATGAAATCATGGGCGAGTTTTTTTATGGCTTAATATTTACAACAATAGCGCTGGCAAATCCTACAGATAATATAGCAAAAAATCCCCACTAGTTAATTATTAATTCTTACATTAGTATAAATAAAATAAAATAAAATAAAAAAAAAAAAAAAGAATGGTGATTATTTAAAAAAATAATGAACTGAGTAATGGAACAAGTGTGAATAATTATAAAATAAAATAAAAGATTAGTCAAAGTGGATTTAAATGAAAATGATGATAATTGTAAAGATAAAATAATAAATGAAAGACGACGTAAATGGGCAGTAGGAATTTAGCTAGGGGGCCGCCATGACACAAGTAAATTTGCATTGGACGCCTAGTTGTTGTGCTATTATTACTAGCAGTTAGCAAAGACTGGGGATGCTAATTAATGATAATAATGGAGAAATAAGGGCGGAACAATTGTTGGCTGTTGGTTGAGGTAATTGTTAAGAACAATCAGTAAATAACGATTTGTTCAGTCGTCGAGCACATGGCGCACCGACTGAAAAAAAAAAAAACATGGCGTCGATCACCGCGAGTAAGCGGTGACTGACAGATGCATGTTTAACAATTACCGAGTATTTATAAGCTTGTTTAGCAACAGAGTAATGAATTATTATTTATTAACGTACCTTGCGTTTTTCCAAATTTCTTATCTTGTGCTCGATAACGGTGATCGCTTGACGAATCGGATCAGTGGCCTCCGTAGAGGCCTGTTTCTCTAGCTTAGGGTTGGCAGAAGGCATCCTTCACGGGCAACAAACGCGAACTGGAATGGCAGTGAAGCTGCTTTCGTTTCGTTCTGCTAAAGGTGTCCGCGCCGGGTCGGGGGGAGCTAACCAGCAACCAGCCTAGCTTCGAGAAAAGTTTGTGCTGCTCATTGCGCAGGCGCGTTTTTTTAGTTAACATTTACACATTTACGTCGCGTGATTTTTTTTTATTTCTATACACAATAATAAATGTTTTTTTTTTTTACCTTGACTGTCATTGTTAAATTAAAAAAAATTTATATTTGATATTTTGTGAGAAAGTACTGAATGTTTTTTTTTATTCTAATAAAAATTAATTACTCAAATTTGCTATTTTTATAAAATGACAAGTGAAGTAAAATAAATAATTACATTTGTTTAGTTTTTGGAAATTATTGAACGTCGATTTTTTTGATATTTTAATTTATTGAATTTTGCGCCAAAAATTAAAATGGCCAAAAATTTTGTTTACTTTTTTAAGCGTTAGAGGCGCTGAAACTCGAATTTCTCGCGCCAAATAATACAAATTTTATTTTTAATCAAACTTTTCACTTGACAATTTTTTTAAATTTTCTTTTATAAATAAATTATGGCAAAAAAAAATTATTAAAACAATGGACTTGTAGAAATTTTATGACATTAACGTTAACAGTCACTTAACCATTTTTTAACAAATAGATTTTAAAAAAATTGCATTTTTTATTTTTTAAAATTTCTACATTGTCAATTTTTTTTTCTACTTTTTTTTGCCATAATTTGTTTGTTAAAAAAATTCTTAAAATTATCAAATATCTGCTAAATTAATTTTCATAGAAATTTTAATAAATTAAAAATGCAATTTTTTTAAAATAACTTTTTAGAACAAATTTTTTTGTTAAAAAAATTAAAAATTTGTCAAATGACAGCTAAATTTAATGTCATATAATTAGCTGTTTTTTTTTTTTAATTTTACTAGCATAAATAATAATAATACTGAAGTAAGTTGAAAGGTGTCAATTTTTTGAATTTTAATCACAAATCAATTACAAAAAAATGTTTTTTTTTTAGTAATTTCATTGCTATAAAATTAGATAAAAATTTCTAATGTCTGTCAACTTCAATGTCTTGAATAATAATAATTAATAGTTTCTTAGTTAGCCGACGTTTTTAATTTTTATTTTTTTCATTAATAAAATTAGAACTAAAAAATATTTTTTAACAATTGCACTTATAGTTTTTCAAGTTTTTAATAAACGAGAATTTTTTTTTTAATTTAAAAAAAAAAAATTCTAAAAATTTTTAAATGTCGGCTAACTTAATTTTCATAGTTTCAAAATATTAAGATACAACGTGTTTTTTCAATGTTTTATTGAAAAAAGATTAATAAAAACATAAATTATGCCAGTGTGATATTTTTCTATGTATATATAATATATTTATATATATTTTGATTATATTTTCTAAATTTGTTATAATTTTATTCCCGTTATTTTTGACAACAAAAAAACAGGTAATATTTTTTACACTCTGTCACTGAGTTATTACTAATTATGGAAAAATAAAACTTAAATCTTTACAGTGTTTCTTAAATTAATTAAAAAATAAAAAAAAAAAAACAAATTTTACTTAAATAACAATAATGATTAATCTATCCGTGATATCGTATAATTCTAACAAATTTATTTTAAAAAATTACCATTCATTTATAATAATAGTAATAATTATCATTCATCACTCTTATCATTATCAGTAATTTTATTTTTAATTAGTTGATTTCTATATATATATATATATAAAAGAAAATATAAGCACACGAGAGCAATGGTTAGTATATATATTACAACGCTATTGCATGGCACGAATGTTTCAAGTTTCAAGTAAATTTTGTTTAAAAAATTTTAAAAATATACCAAATAATTTTTCTTTTTTTTCATTAGTTTTTTTTTTTTATAATTACATAAGTTTTATCTATACAGATACGACTTCACCCAAATGCCCGCATTTTTTCAAGTCTCTAAGTAAAACATTTGATTTACTTCAAGAACAAAATAAAAATAATATAAAATAAAAATTAAAAGATTAACGTATGAAAAGCTGATTAAATTGCTACTGGTATTAATTAATTAAATGGGGAAATGTATCTCATTACAAGATATTTATACAATTTACAAGTATAATTTGTTTACAGTATATCTTAAAAATACATTAGCTCTCCACATTTATCCTTCTATTACATTTTTATTTCATAAGGTATCTAATAATACCATTTTCACTTTTCCAGATACGTTAAATAACAAAATCAAGTTTTTTAACAAATAAAAATTAAAAAAAATAATAATAATAATTAATAAACACTAAAAATTAATATAAAATAGCTAATAGAGCTAAAAATTTATACTGATTTATATTTAATGTACAGTATAGATGATTTTCAATAACAAGTACTATTTTCATAAAATACTTATTAATTAAATAAAATGGGAAAACTCGCGGTATTACTCGCGTAATGTGTAAAAATACGTACCAAAATAATTACAAGTACAAAAAATCAGCATAAAAAAATTTAATTTTAAAATAAATGTTAATTGATTTCAATATGTTGGCATTTTAAAATTAATTAAAAGTTCGTAAAAATCTAATTTTTTACTAAATTCTTACAATTTTTTCAAGCATTACTTTATTGCACGAGTCGACTTAAAAGTCGTCCCTATAATTTATTTTGTAAATTTTAACGAAAAAGGTCGTTAGTTCAATTCATTGATGAAATAAAAAAATTTTACAATTTTCAATAAAAAAAAAATCAATTTGATTTTTTGTACGTTTAGTTTCAGTAAATTGTTGAAAAAAAATTTACAAATAAAAAAGCACTGTTTTATCGTACCCAGAAAATTAAAAAAAAAAACCAAGAGAATATAAGTTAATTAAACTGATTAATTCGTATCTTTTTTCTTTGATAAAGCGAATATAAATTTTTGATAATTACGCGAAGTTAAAAATCTATGCATATATTACAGTGGAAGTTTCATAATAATCATTGACAATAAACCGAGCCCAAATAGTTCGGTGCATTGATTAAAGATCTAGTTGATATTATTAAATGATAAATTAATAAAATCATCTACGATAATTATCATGTACTTTTACAGACCTAGCACCTATTTAGCACAATACAAATACATATCATAATAATAATAATAATAATAATAATAATAATAATTATTTATAATACCTAGTGTATTTTATATTCACAGTGATATCAATTATTGATAGCTTACAATTTTATCATATAAGTTCTTCAATTAATGCAAATGGCCAAAGACACAATATTAACTTATTGTTCAAATTTATATCATCATTATTAAGTTCCACTGAATTAGTATGTTACACAATATCGTGAGGTGTCCCTCATGTTGACTTAGTAGCAGCAGTTAGGTCCAATTAAATTTATTCTCCAGTGTTATTTAATAACTATTTATATTAATAAAGAATATTTAAACAAAAAATAATTATAAACTTTTGAGTTATTTAATTCCATTAGAAAAACTATCACTGGATTTACGTCGCTAATAACTTGTATCTTTTAGTTATTTTTTAAGGCAACAAACTCCAAATATTAATAAGCTAATACTTTATCTGTTGTTATAATTATTTGTTGTTTTAATCATTATTAATATTTTAAATTGTCTCTTTCTATGCCGTTTACTTTTTAAGATACTCACGTAACTTATCATTATAATTAATAATTAATATTAATATTATTACCGTTGAAATAATTAAAATCACTAGGATATATTGGCACTTATATCCTCGTTATTAGTATCAGGATTTAACAAACAATTATTACTTTCGATTTGTTGCGTAGACAATTCCAAATCTGTATTTAATGGCACATTGGACGCTTCAGAATTTAAGTCTTGATTCTCTGGTTGTGATGGTGGTGGATTATTTATTTTTGTTTTGAATTTTAATTGGTATTCTATACTATCAATTTCCGCCCAAATTGTTCGTACCTCTTTAAATAACTGTAAAAATAATCAAAAAATAATATTAGATAAATTATTTTTAATAGATTTATAATTAAAAAAATTATAGAATAATCTACCTGATTGAGCCACGTTTCATCGGCTAATAATTCGTTAAGAATAGTCGTTGTATCTTTATTAGGATCCGCTATTCTTCTATCAGCAACTCTTCGAGCACATTCGAGGAACATTAGATATTTTTGATGCGCTACTTTGTTAAATAACGCAACTTTTGTTTGACATACTCTACACAGTAAAAAGTCCTGAAAAAAATTTAATTTATTTAATAAATAATTATCACGAAGCTTTGATTAAAATAATAATAATAATAATAATAACAATTAATCAATAATAACCTTTTCATGAGGCACTGTAGGGTCTGGAGGAGAACCTTCTAAAGTTGTAGCATTGTACGGTTGTCCGTATAACAACACTCTGGCATGAATTTGATTATGCTGACAGCCAATGCACTGTTTACCTTTACATTCAGAGCTTGATAAGTCTTTCAATACATTCAAGCAAGGCCACGTGGATATTGCTGTCACGACATTAGTTTGCCATTTAGTTGTCGACAACAATCGTCGCTTTCGGTCCTCCGTTATTTCGTCTATCATTTTAACATTCGACAAGAAATACTCGTCTGAAAATAATAAATTCAGACCCCACTTAAGTTAATCAATTAATTAAATTATTTAAATAAAATATTGAAGAATATTTACCATGCTCTTGGAAAATTTCCGTCAAGAAATTTGAATCCAGCGCCTGAGATATCAGTGTCTGAACGTAAACTTCAAAATTGTCCTGATATTTTTCATTTTCTTTAATAGACCGATTAATACACTCTCTTTAGAAAAAAAAAATATATATATAATTTTCATTTTAAAATACAAAGTTCAATAAATTTTATTAATTACGATGATTTACCTATCATCAACAATCATTTCGTCTCTTAAAAATTCAACAATGGTCTCCAATTTTCCTTGCTGCCAAAACTTGACTGGAACTTGTTGATACATATGTCGATTTTGTGGTGTCCAACCCGAGTACTAAATAAAAAAAAATATTGATATTTATTTTTAACATCACTCTAGATAATAAAGTACAATTTAAAAAAAAAAAAAAAGATCATACCGTTGAAATATTTCGGTACAGTGTTTTACCATTTGAATCAAATGGCTCGTATTTTTGCAGCAAAGTTTTACCGTCTATTCTCCACAATGCCGGATACTCTTCCTTTAACTCGGCTTTGATAACAACAAACTCACCCGACTAAAAAAATATAAATAAAGATAATTATTATTACTACTAGTATAAATAATCCAATGATAAACATTGTTCATGAAATCATTTTAAAGTAAATTAATTGAGTAATTAATTATTACTTTAAAATAACGCAAAAATTACCCCAGTTTCAATATCCTCATTATAACGCTGCATTTAATAAAATTAATAGACCATTTATCATAAATACTACATTTAAAAAAAACCATTCATAAAACAACTTATAATAATAATAATAATAATAATAATAATAATAATTAATTAATAACAACAATAACTGTATAAATAAAATAAAAAAATCTACAAACCTTAAAAGGTGATATATCAATATCCTCATCGCTAACAGAAGCCAACAATTTTTCATCTATTTTCAAAACCGAATTTTTATGATCAGATTTTTTTCTTCCTTTTCTCGGAATTAAATCACTCGACGAATAATCATCATCATCGAGCATTTTTCTAATTTTTTTACTGATAACCGGACGACCACGTTTTTTCTTCTTCTCATCATCATCACCAGTAAGCTTAGCGGCAGGAGTCCAAGCTGGATCAGAATCAGAGTCACCCTGCTCGTCGTCATCCGAATTTTCAGCAAGCTGTTTAGTCGAAATCTTTTCCTTAGCTTTACGTTTAGACGTTTCACGCCTAGGTGGTAACAATAACAAATTACTGTCGGGTTTTTTCGGTGGCCTACCAGCAGCTAGGTCAGCAGCCGCCGCCGCGGCAGCCGCTGCAGCGGCTTTTCTCTTTCTGTCTGTCGGGCCACCGGGTTTTATCGGACGTCCCTTTTTTTTAGGCGGTGGTTTAACCACATCGACATTACCCGTCATATTATTATTATTATTATTATTATTATTATTACTATTATGATGATTATTATTATTATTACTAGTCAACTTATTCTTATCACTCTTTTTCAAGGTAAATGGAAAATCGTCCTCGCTCATAATACCGTCGTCGCTGGAATCAATGTAAGGCTTCTTACGTTCTTTCGGCAAGGGAAAGTACCGTGGATCATTTGCGTAATCAATTGTCGGTGTGTCTTTCACCGAATTAAGTCCCTTGTAAAGTTCCCCGTTGCTCGTCCCAATAGTGGTGGTGATATCGCCGATCGATTTAATCGGCTCGTGTGGCAAGTAAGGTTTCGACCTGTTCCAAGTGGCCTTCCTTCCTCCGCGAATCGCAGGTGGTGGCGAGGGTTCTCGCTCGCCCTGCAAAAACTTCAAGTAGCTTGTCATAAAACCGGTATTGGGGTCTTTGCACGCCGGCTTTAGATCCCTGTTCACCTGATTAGCAGTCTCGACTGGCAACTGACTCGACTGGAGAAAGCCCAGCTCCTCCTCGATGTTCGGCACTATTACTTTCGGCTGGTCGTCTCTGAAATCTTGGTACCCGGAGTTCTGCTGGTGTAGGTGCTGATGGTGTCCAGCTGCTGAATTATCGCCAATGTACCCAATAGAATTAACATCCATAGAAGACTGATGATACTCATGAGGATGATGTCCAGGTGGTAAGTGAAACGCCGGAAAGTACCCGGGTATCGGAGCCGCATGGTGCGGATTTATCAGCGACTGATGATGATTGCCCGAGGTACCCACGTAATTTCCAGCATGAAGAGTGCTCTGCGAGGGAAAAGTCCCCGTAGGTCCTGGAAACATCTTCGATCCACTAGCCAAGTTCCATCTCTCAAAATCAAAGTACCCATTTTGAGGCTGGTTTAAATTGTGATGAGCCGGTGGTGGCACTCGACCAAGATAATCATTCATCACAGCGCTTGTTGAGAGATCGCCGAAGCTTGAATTTTTTTCAAAGCTCCGTCTCTTTTTATTAGGATCTATTTTTCTCTGTCGCTCCTCGGCTTGCTTCTGAGGATCTTTAAATGGATAAATCCCGAGTACTGTTTCAGCGGACAAGTGCCTCATCTTTATCTGTATTGAAGACTTGCCGTGTTTGATCACCGTGGATCGAGCTTTGATTAATTCACGCTCATTTCTGCCTTTTAGATATCCGGCTTTCTTGTAGTGTTACTATTTAATGCTTATCCGTTTAACTTATTTGAAGCGATTATACTCGGGTTTCAGGGGTTATTCTTCGATGTTAATCGTATTTGATTTTACACACGGTCGTCTATTAGTTTAGGTTGTAACGGGTGGTTTATTTCCCGTACGATTGGCCCTATTATTTAAATTTAATAAAACAACAAAATAGCAACAAATGATCTTAAAGTTAAATAGGGCGCCACCAGGATTATTTTCTCGGTTCCTGGAACCGGATGCCAGAGCTGAGCTTCTTATTCTACAGGGAGAGAGAGAGAGAAAGGTGTACTGGAAATAATTAAATCTTTATTTAAAACAATTGGCCAAAATTTATTCAACAATAAATAAAATGAAAAAACAACTCGTGCACTTGCACGTACTCCCAACTCACTTACAACTACTCACTTATAACTACTGGAGGATTTCGGGCTAAAACCGGCGACTCCACTTAATACTACGACTTATAACTAATGGAGGATTTCGGGCTAAAACCGGCGACTCCGACTTGGCGCTAGTCGTCTACTCGGCAAACCATCAACAAGATGAGGACATCGCACCAAGATTTTATTACCCTACTCGGCAAACCATCAACAAGTAGGGGTCGTCCAAGAAAAATTCCTAATCCCGCAGTACCCTCATACGGAGCGACTATACTGCAGTTTCTAACTTACTGCCGCTGTACCCCACTTGGCGACTATACAACGGCTTCTAGGACTGTACGAATTGCTCTACTCGGCAAACCATCAACAAGTAGAGAACGCGTACAATCGCACACACTTAACCCGCACGATCTTTACACACATAACCCACGCGTCCCACACACACACCGACTCTACTTTATTATTTCCGGATTTACAAAATGAACTCCAAAAATTTACTACGTTAATTTTATTAAGATTCATCAGCCATTAGCTCGCAATAAAACTCTATACTTTATTTTCACAAATTAATAAATTTACTTCTTAAAGATTCCGGCTTAAACCGACGCTTCTTTTCCCTCCATTTTTAACACGAGCTTATCTTTGCGCATTTACAATTTTCTCAGAACATTCGCCGCAACATTTTACTATATTTTTCACGGACGTAATCCACACGAATAAATAGTTTTATAAGTAATTTTGCCGGAACAACAATACTAAATTATTGATAAATTTTTACAAGACAATATTTCAATATATAAGACTCCCCAAGCAGAAATTGGCAATTAAATTAGATAATAAATTATAATTTTACTCAATATGAAAATTACGTGCCTCAATTTTCCTGCGGGTGTTTAAGTCTTATTTGCGCCGAAATTTGGTAATTAATTCTCAACAATTAATAACACGTGGAATAATAAATTTCTAGTAATTTGCGAATGACGATTAGATTATAAATAATTCACTTCAGTGTGTAAAAGTAATTTCAAAAAATTATCCACGGTCTTAAATTTCGAAATGCGACGCAGTTTTCCTCAATAAATCAATTCCGGTAGTTAAAATTGTTCCGAATAAATAATTAAATAATTTTCCATAAATAATACATATAATAAAATAATTAACTCAGTGGTAATTCAATCGTTAAAAATTATAACATTTGTCCAGGTATTTATTTCACGAATTTACTGCGTCACAAAAATGGACGCCGTTTCGTTGCTGCGTAGTAGCTTGACCTCGGGTACTGAGAGACGCTTGACTGGTCATGAGCTATGACTGGAATGTTTTCTCGATGTTCAGAAAATTATATTAATAATTTGTTAATAAAAATTAATTCATTAATGCCAATCAAAGGTGTTAATTATTATTAACCTGCAGAATTAATAATTTAGATACTCACGACCAAACCCCGGAGGTCTGGAACATTCCTCGGGTGTAACAATCCCCTCGAGGAATTGTTCTCAAAGCTAACAAAAATTAATTTAATTCAAACAGTTAAATTATTATTGAATAAAATATTATAAGACGAATTGAATAACCATTAATTAAATAAATGAGAAGTAGTATGGAAATTGAGCCGGGTGTGACCCCCAAGGCTCAACACTACCAAAGTCCAATACCTGGTGTCAATTGGTTTGAAGGAACTCCTTGGTTGCTAATGGCTTCCTTCATGGACTCCTCGATGTTACTTGTTTCAACACTACACCACTTCTCCCGACACAACGCATAACTCGCCTATTTAATAACTCCCCAAAATACCCCCTCCTACTCTCTTTCTAGGGCCGAAGATCGATGCGCCAAAATGCTAGTCGACAAAGTTATCGATCTCTGGCGACTTATCGATTAAGGGTAATTTACCCTGTTACAAAGTACTTATTTAACTAATTTTTGAAATTTTTTTATGTAATATAGAGCTTAATTTTATTTTTAAAACAAAAAAAGTTACTACAATATTGGAAAAATTTTTTTGTATCTTGAATTTTAAAGTTCCGAACTTTAATCAATTCTTCAAATAATTAAAGTATTTAGGGTTTTTTTTTAACTATCAAAAATTAAAAAGGTTTTTTTTTAACAATCAATTTTTTAAACCAAATAATTTTTTTTTTTAATTCATTAAGAAAGATTATAATAATTAATCAAAGTCGATTTTTTAAACTTTTAAAATTATTAAAGTAATAATCTCTATAAATTTTTTTAAGAAATTAAAAAAATGCATCTAATAAAAAAAACTATTTTTTTTTTATTACAATAATTATTAAAATTTTCAACCATTAAAAATAATAACAAATAGTAAAAAAGATTATGACATTATAATAAATGGTAATCATGACATTTCACGCTCAAAACCAGACATAAATAATATAATAATTTATAATAAATAATGAAAGCTCATAACAGAAAGATAAAAAATGTATTTATACTTATTAATAATCCAATAAATAAAACAGGTGTAACTACTTATTATCCCGCGTGACCTTTACCGTATTTAAATATTGAATATACAAATCACCGATAATTATATCAGAGCTCGCAATATTTAATTATAAAACGTTGTAATAGAATTATTGAAAGGCCGAGCTAAACACAAACATATCAGGAAATTAAATTCGAAAAGCTGTCCGAGTATCTAATCGTACGATTACAAAGTATATACAAAATGAACCGATAGATATAGAAATCGATCATCGTAGGTCGTAGTTAGATTTTCAGCTAGTGGCTGAGTAGTGTAGTAGCCGCACGGGCTGCTCGACATTGTATTGCGCAAGTAACGTCCGGTAATCGCAAACTAATGACGACCATAAGAAATCAACAGCAGGAGTTGCGTAATTCTGAGTAATTAGTCCATTTAGGAGCTCGGGGCTAAGACTACTCGGAGATGCATATACACTGGCAACTTACGTATTTATTCCCGTGCTCGCGTACTCCTATTATATGTACTAGTTGTAAGTACTCATGGGCCAGTCTGTAGTCTATGGGATAGATATTATTGCTGGCACATGGTAATGGAGCATTAATATCACCGTTATTAATGTATTTTCATATTATTTTTAAACAACCGACCAACCGTAAGTTTATTGCGCCATACATTAACGCCGCGGTTGCTCCAGCTCCAATCCTCTCATTAATCTACACTATTATGTCTATCATACAGTACATACACATTTTCATTTTTACTTTTATTTAATGTTCGATGGTTGAATCAGTTTGTTGAGATTTTTGTTCTCGAGCTTAGTTATCCGCGAGCGAAATATTGTAAGTTATTTTACTTCTTTTTAAAAAGAAATTTTTATTTTTTCTTATTAGATTTTTTTAAATAGTAAATTTTTATGTAAAAATAATTTTGAAGATCAAAAACAATAAAATAACTTAAAATTTAATTTTTTGAACTAAAAAATTGTTTTTTATTTAAGATTTTTTCTTTTGGATTGAATTAATTTTTTGATCACCGTAAAAAAATTTAAAAATGAGCTAATAATTTTTTTTTCATTAATTTTAATATCTATCGAAAAAAAAAATTAATAATTTTAGAATCGAAAAATTTGATCTAAGTATAAATATTAAAAATTCGACAAAAAAAATTTGAATACAATTTTTTTCATCTATTTATATTAATAAATATTCTTACCAACGGATGAAGATGAGTTTACAAGCTACTAACAGTTTAATTATGATAAAAAGAGTTAAAATATTGGCGCGAATTAATCTTGAGAAACAGATGAAAATATTAATAAGAACAAAGAGTAAAATGTTTAATTAAATGAGAACATTTATGTATGTGCGTCGTACATTTCTCGGTACTTATAACTGTTAAATAAAATACTTTTGTTTAATTGGACTATGGTGGTGATGCATTATATTTTAATGGGGGATTTAAAAGACCCATAATCGTAAATATCAGGGATAATACCGATCAGTAATAATACAACTTTGTAAGCGGTTAATAAATAAAACGCGTTAATTTAATATTAAATCGAATATTATCAAGATTTGAAGCATAAAAATGAATTAACTTTTGATTTGGTATTTTCAAGATAATTGGATAAAAAATTAATATTTTTGATTTATTTATCAATTACTTAACTGTTAAATTCGCGTCCAGCCGGTGGGATTTATTTTACTGATACATTTAATGTCGAAATAGAGAAAGAGAGACAACAAAGCGATAAAGAGAAAGAGAAAGAGGAAGCGAATGAGCATGAGAGGCGAAAATAAATGAAAAGTAAGAGATGAATCAGGTGGTTGAGAGAACAAGAATCACCTTAATCGAGTGCCCATAATATATTCGAATAAAGTTTACGAGCACGTAGCCATACATTTGCAGATATTTATCCCGGGGCGTTTATGAGTCGGTCGTCATTTAACCGCTCAGTGCATCAGCGATGAGATGTGGCTCGTTCGTTCAATGGGTTTAATTAACGTCTTAAGTAGAAGTTGATTATAGAGCTTTCTCAGCTGGATGTTTAAGATAAATATGACCACGGGATACGCCCAGAATTTGTTGGAGTTTAGTATTTCATTGTATACATTGCAATCTATCCTTTTTTTGTTAAAAAATTTTCTTCTTACCGGTGTTTCTAATAATAACAAATAAATAATTTCAATTTTAGTTCAAAAAAATTTTTTTTAAATGAATTAATTATTTTAAAAAATATTTTTTAATTTTTTCTGAGTGCAATCTTTTAATTTATTTTATAAAAAAATTAACTTGAAAAATTATCACGGTTAATTTTTATAAAATTATTTTTTTTAGTTAAACTCCAGAAGTTTGTGATTTGTTTATTTTTTATCATTAAACTTTTACTCTTGAATTAACCTTTACACTGAAAAAAAATAAATTGACTTTTAAAAAAATTTTTAAACCAAGAAATTTATTTTTAAGAATTTTATCGTCTTGATTTAAGTAAAAAAATCCTTAAACTGGATTTTTTTTTTAATTTAAGTAAATTTTACTTGATTGAAGAAAATGTAAGTCTTGAAAATGATTTTCTTAATTCAAGAATCAAATTAATTTTTTTCAGTAAATTGGTCTTGTCCAAAAGTTCAAGTCAATAAGATCTAACATGTGAGATCTAATCGTATCCTATCATGTGATGATCATATCATCTTCTAGTAATATAAGTAAAGATATAAGCAATAGCCGAGAAGAGTAGAAGAGGTCAGCCGCCCGGGAAACCGTTGACCTCTCCCGGAATGTATAGCGTAGCCTCTCACCCGAGTAGGATTTACGCGGGGGTGCATTGTTCATGTCAGAGTACACAGTACATCGTACATCGTACATACTACATACTACATCCCGTCTGGTCGCGTCCCACGGCGGCAGTTGCTAAGATAATTCAGGTTAATTCATATGTAAAATCCCTTCCTCCTGTCCATCAACCGTCACGCTACCTTTCATATCTTCTATTTACATTATTTTCACAATAATTATTTTATTATAATGTAATATTAATAAATTATACCGCAGAATTTTATTTCTAAGAAATCTTTTTTTCTTTAATTTAAATTTTTAAAATTTAACATAAGTGCTGTCGTGTATTATGCGGGCACTGCATGAGATATTGAATAAAATGTTTGTTAACACACGTAATAAAGTTAAAGTGTGAAAGTATATGTTGTATGAAATAATTAAGAATGATTTAAAATAGATATTTAAGCTGTAAGTATATACAATATATATATATATATAGGACTATGGTAGGTTCCGGTGAGTGTTAGACACGCTGCGTAGTTTAAGATAATAGGTGCTATCTTCTCGACTAATGGATCCCATGGGTGTCGCTAAAACCTTCCCGGTGTGGGTAATGATGTTTTATCGATTCGCGGATCCTCGTAACTTAACGTTACGCTGTTACCTAAAGCTATAGGTATAGACCGTCCGGGCACTTTGCTAGTTTTAAAACTGAGATACAATATAGTGTCCAGTGTGTCGAACGTGTATAACCGACCTCTAACAGTATATTATTCGCCGGTAACTATCGTTACTATCCCAGGGACCATACACCGTAGACCATAGACCATAGGTAACCCATGTTTTCCTCCCTCGCACTCGCTATTATATACCAAAGTAACAACTACACTTATTCTACGCAATCAATAAATTCTTTACTTTATGTTTTTTTAACTATCGCTTAAATTGCTTTCGAGAATAAAAGTTTTTTTATTTTTAGTTTTATTGATTTAATAGTTTTTAAAATTAAAAAAAATTTAGTCGTGATAGAAATTTAAAATTAATTAAAGAAACAATGCAAGTGTAGTGAAAATAAATTTAAAATTAAAATTCTGAAGTATATATACACTGAAAAAAAAATTAACTTCAATTAAGAGAAAAATTCTTGAACCAAGAAAATAATTTTGAAGAGTTTCATTGTCTTGAATCAAGACGAAAAATTCTTGAATTAAATAAAATTTACTTAAGACAATTTTTCTACTTAAATCAAGAAGATGAAATTCTTCAAAATTATTTACTTGATTCAAGTAAAATTTTTTTTCTGTGTAGGGATATAAAAAATTATAAGGAACATTTTTTAGTTGAAGTTTAATTATTACATGTCACAAAAAAAAAACTTATTAATAAAATTTAAAATTCCTATTATATATATATATATATATATATGTCCATTTTCATATTTATTATTGAAAATGTCTCTTAAAAAAATGATTAAATTTGAAGTTAAATTATAATATATTTAATCTCGTAAAAAATTTGAATTTAATATCAGAATTTGAAGGCCCCAAATTTATAAGTGTATAAATTAAATATTAATAATTTTAATTGACGCAATGAATAGTTTAAACTGACGTTGACTGACACCTAATGTTAATACACTGAGAGTTTGTCTAAAAAAGGAATTAATTACGCGGACAATAGGCTCGCGCTCTCGGGCGATTTCACGGTTTCGTGGCCTCGGTTTCCGAGGTAAGAATTATAAATACTTTTATAATAATATAATTTAATATGATATAGCTGGAGGGAATAAATTTTTTTCGAGCCGTCGCGGCAAAGGCCATACTGTTATGTTAATAAAGTTCTTAAACAATTACACTTTAATTACATTATATCCCAGGTTATTTAATGTTACGAGTTGCGATTATGATAATAAGACGGATTATTGTTATGTTTAATAATTCACCTAAAAAACTGTTAGACAGTGTGGCGCTACGCGTTCTCGTAAATAACAGTGAGCTTTTTACGGTTCGATAATTATTTTTCCGCGGAAAAAAAAGCCGTATTGTAAGCGGGTGAGCTCTATAAGGGAGAACAGGCGCGTGGAAAATAGTTTAGCTCCTAAGCGCCGTGGAAATAAATAATTGGATTAATCGTACCGACACTCGTTAATCAGCGGTGTCTGACAGTGAAGACGTACAGTCAGATGCGGAGGTGCGAATAAAACTATTCCAAGCAATTAAAATCCTTTCCTAGGGAAATTCTTGTATATTGCTTCCTGTTTTATTGTAATATGTCGCGGTAACTATAACGTCTTTTTTTGTTAAAAATTTTTATTTATTTTATTCTATTGTTGTACTGTTACTGTCTGACGTTTTTGCAAGTCTCTGGCTAGAAAATTATTTAATTAACTGACGAAAGAAAATAATTATTTAATCTAACTGAATTTTTATGAAAAATTTTTTTTTAGTAATTTTAAATTAATTATTTTGGCTAAAATATTAAAGACGTAAAAATTGACAAGGATTTTTTTTGTAGAGCATTAAATTTTCTACAAAAAAAGTCTCATATACTTTTTTCGTATCCAATATTTTCCCCGTAATTTAAATTTGCTCTGGATATAGATAGAGCGAGAATTTAAAATGACGAATTAAAAATAAAAACTGACCAGTGTGCGTTCGCTTGTGTGCCTTGAGGTGGGAGCTCTTGGTGTAGACTTTGTCGCATCCCGCGACATCGCATCGGTGAACTTTGCGTCGCTTGAGGGCATCCCCGCAGTCACTGTCGACGTTATTGAGGCTACCACCGTGTCCAGCAACTCCGCTGTTTCCTCTGCCGGTGAGGCCAATCCCAGGCGTCAGCGCCGGTCGTTTGTGAAATACACTAAAACAAAAAAAAAGTCATCAATAAAAATGTATCATCATAATCTTCCTCGATAACCTTACTTACACATTGTACATGATAAATAATAATATAATAAATGCCGGGTACAACGGTACAAGGTTATAAAGAATCAACAAGAAGTGGATGACAATGAATGATCAAGATCGATGATGGAAACATAAACCTGGCTGTTAGCGTTTTTTATCAGCGAGCGTGCCTGTTTTGGCGATGAGCCGATCTGCCGCGAGTAGCTAATGTAATAATTTTTTACATTTTTATTGTATATCGCGGTCGCGGATAATATCGAGAATTATGACGAGTGAGCAAGAGATGGATCGGGAGATTAAGACCCGATAGAAAAAGGGACCAGGCTGAGGTCGAGGCAAGAAATTTGACGGCATCATAACGATAACCTTGGGGATTTATATAAATTCCCGATATATATTTTATTTATTCACAACATCTTCATTTATTCGCTCGAAAGATTCGATATGTTTGATATGATACGATATGATGGAAGTCGGTGCAGGCCTATATGATCCCTGATGGAAAAACTTGCCGGTAATATCCTTTCTCGGCACGAAGCAGACGGCAGCCTTACCGATTGTCTACTCGGTCATACATCAATAAACTCTTAATAATACGGATGATATCCATAGCTCGTTATTCTCACCGTACACCAACTATTCAAGGTAATCGAATGTAGAAATTGCGTTCGTGACTGCGTCTACTAACATATTATACTGTATAATAGTTTTATTAATCTATTATACGGTACCGTTCTATTCTTTTAATCATTATTATCCGAATATTTTTGTTTATATTTAATAATTTTATTTTTTTTGTTATAATTTTGGACAAAAAAAATTCTTAATAATTATCAAGAATATTTATTCTTGTGTAAAGAAAAATTTTTTAACAGAAGTAATTTTCTTTTTGTAAATAATAAAAATAAAAAAAAATTAATAAAATTTTTGAACACTTACAACCGATTAAAAATTATTAAAATAATAATTTTTAACATAATGATTGACAAATAAATATTAAATATTGTTTATAATATTAAAAAAAAAAAAAAATAGTTATTAATCTTGATAAAGTCCATAATTTTGAACGAAAAACTGATAAAAATATTTGGTTACAAATAATCCATAAACATTTAATCCGACGACATGGAATTACCACTTAAATAAAAAATACTATCGCAATCTAAAGAGCATAATTCAATAAATAATACTTCTTTATAAAATTTAGTTATTTATAATGGGGATGATAGTAATTTATTAACGCATCGTTTACGATAATTTTGATTATTTCGTAGCTCGTAAATAAATAGTTAAGATAGACGGATAGATAGATAGATAAATATATAAATATATAAAACGGTAACTCGGTTGGACAGTCGCCCGCATACTCACAGTAGACACCTAACGAACCCTCCTGCGGCGAATTATCGCTCTTGTACCGTACCAGTGCATACTTTACGAGAAAATTCATATAGTATAGAGTAAAACTAAAGCCATAGCCAAGTAAAGCTCATATCTGGCAAAAACTCGCCAATAGAAATAGAATCTTAAGTTTATTAAATCACAATTTATTTTATTTTTAAATATTTATATAAATTACAAAGATTTTATTTATATATTGGAAGATATCTTTCTTCTAATCGTCTGGAACTCGCAGTAAAGATAAACTTTAAAGTACCGCTAATAAATATTTACATTTTTTATTTTATTTTATTTTATTATCTTCCTCAACTTCCATTACCGTATCATATGTATAACAAATTATCCATAAACACATTTTTAAAGTAAATATTATTTCCAATTAGCAATTATATGAATTTTTCTTCTCGGTCGTTCTCTTCGGCAAAACATTAAATCACCAATCGATATTAATTAACAAAAAATATCTTAAATTGCCTATTAAAACGTCAACGGAGGACATAATAAAATAAAAACGATTATTAAAAAAAAAATGTCAACCGCTGTCGCTCCTTATGTTTCTGTTTCTGTTGTTGTACCTAAATTATGGGAAAACAATTCGTGTTTTAAAGGCAAGGGACATTACATACTCCTATATTACTACTCACATCATAGATATTGCTTAACGATTAAATGTTTTTGAACATATCCAATATTATTGAGACTCATTAGTAATATTTATATACACACTGCTTGTACAGTGAGTAAGTATATATAAAGACTGCTCAATACGCCAAGGGATTTCATCACGACGCGCGTCCAATCGAGTCGCACGCGGCCGTCCACCGGGATCGACGTGTAGCAGAACTCGATCGATTCCGCTGGGAGTCATTTCACGGTGGGAAACGGCTCTCGATCTCGATATGCCATATTTCTGACTCTTACTCTCCCCATGTTCCTCGTTCCTTCGTTTTATTTAATTTCTATGCAATACATACATGACCTGAAGGTTCAATAATTTAAAAAATTTTTTTTTTCGATTCACATTTTTAAATTAATTAATCCACACAGAAAAAAAAATGTTCTTGAATCAAGTATATAATTTTGAAGAACAATCTTCTTGATTTGAGTAAAAAAATTATTAAATTAAGAAATTTTTATTTGGTTTAAGGAAGTATGAGCGCTATGTATATATAGATCTACATTTAACATTGACTAATGGCGGCATTTATTTTTCTTTTAATTAATACACTTTAATTAGTCGGGCAAGTGTAAATTTTTTTGAATTTAATTTATTACTGATATATTTACTTTCATCCATAAGTTTTTTAAAAATATCCACTGACAGTTTTACGAGAAAAATACAGAAATGTATCAATGTTTGGAAGTTACCCCATAAGACCAATGTTAAATTGCTTAACTTCAAAGTTAATTATTTATTTAAATAATCGGGCAATCCCTATTAAATTTTCGTAATTTGTTTAGACATATTTAAACTTCATATTAAAAAAAAATCAAGCCTTTTATCAAAAGTTGTCTTGGTGCTTGTACTTCCTTGATTCAAGAATTTTTCGTCTTGATTCTAGAGAATTACCCTCTTCAAAATTATTTTCTTGGTTCAAGAATTTTGCTCTTGAATTAAGTTAATTTTTTTTTTTTTCAGTGCACATAATTATTCCCAACAATATTCATTTAAAAATCTTCGATTTTCTTAGCGGGAAGTTAAAAAAATTCATTACAATATTAATAATAAAAAATATTTACATCAATTAACAATAATAACAATAACATAAATAACGATTCAAAAATGAATTTGACTCGAAAAATTAATTTTTATGTAAATTTATTCACTGATAAAATCAAAACTCGTAAACGGTAAAAAAATTTGATTAAATTTACCTCGAATATTGTCATAAGACCGGAAAACGCCTACATAAAAAATTTTATTTATTGCATAACCACTAAAAAACACTACTTTAAACCATTTATCGCGTTGGACAACAGCTTATACATATACTATACAATATATAATACGGTAGTCTAATAAACATAAATAATTTAGCGAAAATTTATCAGGCTCTCAAAAGAGGTCAATCCAAATTTCTCTTTTTTTCTTAAACAAAAATTCCGTGGTAAACTTTCACGTCGAGTGTTAATGAATATTTAATAGTGCTACACTCGATCTTATTGTTAAATTCACTTTACTTTGATAGTTATCTCGGACACAGTTCTGTGAAGTTCAAGTCCAGACACACCCGCTGTGTTTTTCGGGTGTTTATATTTCATTATAAAAAAAAAAATGTAAATGTAAAACGAAAAAAAAAAATAAAATCGTCATGTATAATGAGACGAAACAGGATTATGTACTTACAGCGAAGCCTCCTTTATCCTTTGTAACGCGAGGAGGGCCGCCGAGGATGATACGAAAACAGGATCAGGTGGTTCAATACCACAGACTGATACTTCTCTCTCCCGCTGCCTCTCGCGGTCCCGTTGTCTCTCCCGGTGCTCTCGATCTCGTTCTCGGTGTTCTCGCTCTCGTTCTTTATTTCTGGTCACGTCTCTCGGTTCCTGCCTCTTCCGGTCTCGTTCCTGCTCGCGTTCTCTTACAATGTCCACTAGTGGTAATGCCGGTGACACTGTAACAAATTAATTAAAACAATAAATAAATAAATTGTTGAATTATTTAAAAAAAAAAAATTCCGAGTAAATTTTCATCGAAAGCTGGCGCCAATTCACATTACAGTAAATATATAAATGTTTTATAATCCATAATGTTAAGTAGACAAGGCTGTGCATCATGTTTGAGTCGAAGGTAAAAAACCGCGGAATAACGATTTACTCTCGATACGTCTCAGATGGATCGCTCGGAGCACGATAGATCGATCGATTAATGCCCGCGGTACTTACGCATCAACGTCCTTGTCGTGTTTACCGTCCTAAGTACATGACATGTTCATGTAATATAATATCATACTGAATCGCGATCAAGTTTATTAGTACTGAAAGATATCGAGGCTTTCCGGATGATCTAGATTTCCCGATTCGCAGATATAATAGTGTGTATTAGTTTATTACGCACAATCACGCATTCTTGTTGTGTTTAAATTGTTTTATTCCTATCTGTCAGACCAAGGCCTCTACGCCTTGTGTTATTATTGGTATTTTTTTTTTTAGTTCTTATTTCTTGTTTCTAACTGGGTCATGATTTAGGCTCCGAGGTCGCTGCTGCTATTTATTGAGACTGTCTCAATGCGAAATGTCAGAAAGGCCATAAATATTGCGAGATTTATTGTATCGTTTGTTTGAGACACCCCATAAGTCCTCGGTAATTCGTTTTTCATGAGACGAAACACGCACTTCTGCTTAATGTCATATTTTCTAAATGAAATAAGTAATTATTTTATTATTAAATAATTACGTGAAATTAAATTTTGTATAAGATAATAATTATTAAATTGTTTTAATAAACTAAAGAGTAGTAAGAAAATATTTTAAAAAATTGCTATAGTAGTTTTTTAAAAATTTCCACTTGTAGAATTTTTTTTTAATTTTTTTGGTTAAAATTTTTTGAATAAAAATAAAATTCTAAAAATTTTCAGATGTTTGGTAATTTTATTATAATTAAAAATATAAACATGAATTTAAATATTAAAAAAAATATATTTTAAATAATTTAAAAACTGTTATAAAGTTTAAAACATATTTTTTATGCATAATTTGATATACTTCAATTAAAATTAAAATCCCACATACTTTAATATATCAATCATAAATTTCTTATATAAATTTTTACCGTAGAGATTTTACCAATAAGCATTATTCTCAAACGAACCAGCGACATATGTCAGGATAACGACATAAAAGCCATTTCCCCTATCTCATGTAGCACAGCCATTAACCGCTTAATTAGCCTTATACACATTGTAGTTATTGCTCTCCCAACTTTATAACCATAGAAGCATAATCCGTGACTTTGTCTCTTCTCTCTCCGAAGAATCCACCTGTTTCCCTCTAATTCATCGGCGTTGATATTTTTCTTGTTAGAGTTGTGGCATTAACTTTTCTCGGTTCGGTCTGCGAGAGGGTAAGGGCCGTGATCTTCGACATCAAATGACGTTGGTGATCATCAAGATACTATACCGGGAATAAGATACTGACAGGTCACTGGTACGTAAATGTCTTGCGTACTAGTCGTAACCCCAAAGCGCATTTACGAGTAATAACCGCATCGCATCAACAAGTTAACTTTATTTAAACTCTCTGTGACGAAGACAGACAGGGATATATCCAAGATGATTAGATTAGAGGCAATTAGATCCATACAATTTGCTTATTCTTATTAGCTACTCTCAGTTCTCATCTTTTAATTTCATTTATGTGAGCCATACTGCAGGTAAACTGCTCTAATGCTCATAGAGCACTACTTTAGTAGTATAGGGTGTACCGAGTAGAGGGCAGATGCGATAGAACGAGAGAGAGTAGGTAATTGATAATGTTCAACTCAGAGGTTAATCCGTGGATTTATGGCCCAAGTGTGTAGCAAACATTTTTCGAATTGAGCCAAATTGAGGGATAATCGGCAGACGGTAATGCCTCGCTGTCGAGTGGATGAGATAGCTCCTCGTCCCGGTGATAGTCGGGTTAAAGTGTACGTTTAGTCATACACATACGTACTCATGTGAACTAGCTTACGCGTGGGCAACGTGTTTGATTTAATGCGTTTAACAATTGCCTGCAATATAGACACGTACATCCAACCGGCCGCTTAAACTTATTATTATGCTTGTGATTATTATTGTACTTAGATACTCAGTGCACCTTATGCATTAAACTCGGCTAACTACACCACAGCTAAATAGCTAAATTATTAGCAGCGTAATGCTCCTAAAGCCGCTATTAATGCGACTACGAAATATATGCTATGAATATGAATATAAATAGTTATTTTAATATTGTATTGTTGAAGATGAAAAATTAGTCTCTTAAAAATCTAGCTCATTAATGCAGATCTTTTGATGACTTTTAATAAAAAGTTATTGCGGAGACGCTTTGTCAAGAGCAAATGCCAACGTGACGGTATGAAATTGTTTGGGTTAATTCATTGTGTATTGTATTGTATTGTATTCAGTATTCAGTATTGTATGTGCTAATCAACAGCCGTGGACTTATGGGACTTTTAGCTTTAGTTGCTTCGCGGTGATTACGAGTGTTAATTGCAGAGACGGGTGAAAGTGACGCGTGCCAACCTCTGTCACGATTGTGCTACTAATTTATACACTTTAATAAGTTTGTCCTCTTGCAAAATTGATAATTGTTCGAGTTTTCAGGCGTCTGGGTAAATTGTCTTTGTTGTTTTAGGTGCTTTTGGATGTTGAAAGGCTCTGAGTTTATTTTATTTTGTATAAAGAAGTCTTTTAATTAAGCTAAAAAATTTTTTTTTCGATTTTTAAACCACAAAAATAAAAAAAAAATGTAAAACTTAGTTGAAAATTAAAATTCGTATAAATTATTCATTATTAAATGTAAATTTACATTTTTATAAATAATTTACATGTTTATAAGTATTAATGAAATTTTTATTGTCTTCAGATTAAGAATATTTATCATATCTTTGATATATTAAATATATATTAAATATATTTGTTTATTTATCATATCTTAAGAATTGTTTTAAATTCTCAGTAGATATTGTAGAGTAGAGAGGATTTACGGGAGTGGCATTAGCGAGCTTCCTGGTGTAGTTTCAGGTTTGATTTCAGGATTCTCCACCACAACAGTAACAGCAATAGCACGTGCAGTGAAAGACACAGCACACCAAGTTGTGTTTATTCTGAAATCGATTTTATAAGCTGGTATGGATCCAGCAACTGAACAACTGGAGGCATACGTGTGCATTGTAGATAGGATGGGAGGATTTAAAAGAAGTAAGGAAAGAGTTAAAGAAAGAACAACACTACCCTCTACTCTAGTGCACTACTGGTACAACTGGTCCTTTTCTAAAGTTATGACATTATATCGCACTTAGCGAAGATGCTATCGGCAATACTGAAACACGACGAGCTGACCGTCGGCCATTAGTATCGATGTTCTCACGCCTTTGTAGCGCATACAAGACCACAACAAGAGATGCGGGTTACATATTGTTGCGGTATCGGTCTCTGGGGTTTATCTTATCCGGGAATCGACGACTGTAAATAATGATTGATCGGAAAAATGAATCCCTCGTTGTGTTTTCACGATTCGCTGGCACACATGTAATCCAATATACATACGTTTACATTTATATATATTTATACAATTGTAGGTAGGTGTTGTTGTAAGGAAGTTGCTACTTGTATAAATGCCGCGGTTTAGCTCTCGTTTGTATGTATTATATCGTGGATCCGCGATATCGTCGAAAGGAGATACTGGGCCCACCATCGAGTACTAATAGTCCTGCTACCTTATCTTATACACGAATAATATTTTTATGTTCTGTTTTTTTTTATGTTCAATTCGCAATAACAGTATTAGTATTTTTTTTTTTTTTTATACATTTAACATAATTTATAAAATGATTTATAAAATTATTGCATAACCAAATTAATTAATAATTAATAATTAATTACATGATTCATAGTCCAAAAATTAAAGTATTTAATTGGCTAATTTTTTTTACTAAAAATTTGAAATAAATAAATGTCATTAAACTAATAGAAAAAATTAACTTGACCACAAAAAAAAAATTTAGGCTCTGAGGTATATTTTGAGGGTATTAAAAAAAATTTAACTAATAATTAGTTAAAATTTTTAACTAATTTTAGCATTTTAAAAAAATAATTAAAAAATTTTAACTAATAATTAGATGAAATATTTTTTGAATTTTTGTATTTATTATTCTTTGATGTTTTATACAACAAAAGTATTAAAAATCGAAAAATTAATTCATTTTTTTTTCTTAATTAAATAATTTATCAAATAATAAATTTTGTCAAATCTCTATTAACTTTCAATAGATAATGAATATGAAAGCGAATAATTAAAGGATCAAAGCATTGGAGGGTTAATAATTACTATGAAATTGATCAAACAGCCGTTAATATTCCTGTTACTTTAATGAATATTTTTATCTCAAGTAGCTAATTATAATTATTTAATAACAGAGGATGATTTAATGATTCAGTAAATATTTAAAGTAAATCGATTAAAAATTAAACAAAAGTCTATACTTTATTGAAGTTAATAAAGCAGTTAAGTTAGATAAATTTCGAATTATTATTATTTTAAAAGCAGGGAATGATTGATCGATAAGTTGTGTGCTGGTGGTTTTCAACCGAGCGTGAGAACCACCGCAATGGGTTATCGATTATCGCATGAGAGCAAAGCCCTTACAGTCAGTCGTATTTCCCGAAAGCGAGATGAGCAATATAAGGTACTTGTTACTTGTACACTTGTACCTCGGCCGTATACAATATTTTATATGGATTTTTACTCATCTTATAATAATAATCCTGAAGAGATTCACTAGAGTAGCGAACGCACTAGGAACTCGATAGCCTTTTAACCATTTTATTTATACATTAAAAATAAAAATCAACACCAGTCGAATCAATAAATCTGTTGGGTAAATATTTACAAATCTCGAGGCTTATAAC